AAATTTTGATGCGCGCGTATGTGCGCGTCGAGGTGCGCACGCAAAAATTGTTGACATTTTTAGTTGACCTTTGACCTGAAATTGATGTATACTAAATATAGTTGATTTTTGATAACTCGTTATCGAGATATGATAATGACCTGATTTTTACAAAATGGCGCCTGGATGACGTCACGATGATCCCATGACCTTCAAAAAGGTTTTAGGAACTTGATATTATAGGGCCTGATGACTGACAGAAATTCGAAGAAAATTGACCAAGTCGATTTTGAGTAAACGTGTACACAATAAAGTGTACAGAAGAAATAAAAATAAACTAGATTTGTAATACTTGTTTGGAACAAGTATAGGTGGGCTGATCCAACAAAAAATTGAGACAAAATAAAGGGTACATTTGAAATAGATTTTTGTCTCAGCTACAACATACTCAAAGTTCAGCGTAAACGAAACTAAAACGACAGAGATATTGCTCGCGAAAGACGGGAATGTAGAATCCAGTTTTGAGAAAAAATCATGTCCTATAGAGAATACACGCAAAAGGTGAAAAATTGACATGCCTCCTTTAATCGCTAAAATACGCCATGATGCTTTTGTCAAAATGAAAAATTGTGACCACAGCATTTGTAAAAAATTGTCTCAGCTAGAACATATCAAAATTTGGAAAACAATCCATCAATATTTACAGAGATACAATCAATTTTCCAAAAATATGCTGACGTCATAATATGCAAATTGAAATTATGAGTTCGGAGGCCATTATGATGACGTCATAAGAAAATTGAGGGTTAAATGAGACATGAAATCATATCTCCAATTTATATACTATCACAATATGAAAAAAGAATTGGGGTCACCTTGCATCCTAAAGAGCTACAATGGATTTTGTATAGGCATGTTTTTGCCCATATATGCTATGTATTACAAGAGCTCGCGCGCATGGAAATTTATGTTAAACGGTAACATTCCGTTATCAATAGTCATAAAGAGACAAACATGGTATCAATTTGTTTGTAAAAAGATCTGAAATATCATGAAAGAAAAAAAAATGGCGATTCTATGTTGTGTAATAGTTTTACGCGCAAAAACGCGCACACATGCGCGTGTGCGCGATTTTTTTATAAAATGCTTAGAATGGCCTAAAACGTATGCAAAATGATTTTAAGACGTTTTTGAGAATTTAAAAATTTTGCGCGCCTTATTGACGCGCGGACGTACGCGCGTGCCTTTTTTGACCCGAAATTGACCGGACGGATATTGACCTTGATCATGATAAATATGAATGAGAAATAGCTTTTGGTTATGAAGATATGATCATGAGTTGTTTTTCCAAAATTTTTACAAAATGGCGCCTAGATGACGTCATCAGTAAAGGTCAAGGTTGAAAACATTTTTGTGCCTTGTACATATGCCTATACATATGTGTGCCAAATTTCAAGGCATTTGATTGAGCCATTTTCACGTAATCTTGTCCACAAAAAAGTGGTTAGAAATAAGAAAAATAAAGAATAAATAAATAAATAATAAAGGCAATTCTAACGAAATTATAAGGTGGTCTGTACGATATACAGCCCACCTGATAAACAAATAAATAAATAAAAATAAAGAAAGAAAATTCTAACAAAATCAATAGGTGATCTGTCGTTGACAGACCACCTAATAAAACACAATATAATACATAAGAAAAACGATATTTGAAAATCACATCAAATTTGCATAAATTATCATTATTAATTACATAAAAATAACTATTTTGTGTTAGAAAAGAAGTTTCATATGAAAACATTCTAAAAGTGGAGTCTGACAATTTTTGTAATGATTCTAGTTCCCTGTATATTTCCAGACTTGATATTCATGAATGCATAATTTTCGTATTCTTAATTTATGCAAATTAACCTATGCATTTTCAAATATCATAAAAATAATGAAACCTCATGAATTTGAGATGAAGGAAACATTTATTCAATACATTTTCAAGATTCCTCACAAGTCTACAGACAAATATGAAGAGTTTTCTGTAAAATGCATAAAATTAGCATTTTGCATAATTAATTAGGCTATAACAACAAAAATTTGCATATTAGGAAAAAAACTAATTATACCATAAGGTTCCTTACGTAAATATCTACAAACATGCACATTTTTGTGTTCATCGGACATTCAACGGCTGAGATCATAGGGGGGGCGCCCCCCCCCCCCACCCCAGTCAGTGAAGTGTTCAAAATAGCCCAGTACAGTAAGGGTTAAGGGAAAGAAATATTATCAAACTCTGTTACGGGAAGTAAAAATCTTCATAACTTCATCCTATTAATTGCCAGCCTTTTCTTTTACCAGGTATTCCCTGCGAAGGCTTGAAGCCCCCCAAAAATGGAGCTCTGGCCTGTGATGGGTGGATTGGTGGAAAAATTTGCAATATATTTTGCAATGAAAATTTTGACCTTCCAAGAACGCGTGTTACAATCCCTGATCACTATGTGTGTGGAACATCAGGAGTGTGGCGTCCTCATGACCAAACAAGTGGCTGTACTAGTAAGTGTAATTTAGAGTTTGTCATACTGGTATTAAAATATATTTCTGAAGAAGAAATATGGCCCTAATTTAGTGGATGTAATGAATGAAAATAATTGTATTATTTGTTACAATTTAAAGGACAATCCAACCTTTGTAATAAGCTAGTTTGTATGATAGCAGAAAATAAGATAAACAGAGTTAGTGCTTGAAACGTGAGATCAAATTGGCAAAATGGTAATTTGGTGAATGAAATATATTTCTGTGTTCAACATGAAATGATTATCTTTTATATCACATCCATATTCACATAATAGTTCCAGAGTACACAAGATAAGCTGAACCTAGAGCTACATTGCATACAAACAAAAGTAATTCTTAGAGGTCGAGCTTTCATTTGCGCTGTTCGAACTCTTTGAAATAACCTACCATTAAAGAAAAGAAAAGCCTCATTTGTTGATGTCTTCAAAGTTTTGTTGAAGATGCCCTTGTTTTCAGAAGCTTTTGGATATTTGTGTATTCTGTGTCCGTAAAGTAGCACTACTAGAAGATTTGTTTTCATCTCATCTATTAAAAAAATAATAAAGTTACATGGAAAAAAAATCGAGAAAAGGTGATATCATGTCATCTTTACCCCAAGTTAATGTTCAGATAAAAAAAGGCCCTCGAAAATACCTGTACAGCTGGAGACGGATGCGTACGCGCGCGTCAATCCGTTCTATATTCTTGCCTTAATTCAAGGCTTTGGATTATTGGTTTTGTTGATGAAGATGATTACATGGCGATTTTCCATCGGTGATTGGATGATTTTCGCTGGGCAATATGAGAGGGCGTTGTTTTCCTCACATTTCGATAGATGTATTGTAGTTATTCATATAATAATATTATTAGGCCTATAGTAGGCCTATATATTCATAGAGACCTAGGACTATTCCTTTTAAATATAATTTGTGATACGCCGCGTTTCCTTTATCGAGGAACAAAACTTATATTTTTAGAAAGAAAAAAGTCTGAGCTTACATTTTTACATTTACTAAAATACACGAAAATGACTGAATGAGGCGCAATGGGCAATGAAAGTAGAAAGCATCGCCAAATTTTCCATTACTGGCGACGTAACCGAAATCGCTCCGTCACAGGGGAAACAATCGCCGTGCGCGGGCTCGCTCTCAAAGGGTTAAAGTTGAAACAAAAAAACAGAGCCGCCCGGGCGGTCCGGACTGACATGCCCCTCGGTCTGGACTTCGAGAAGCCCTAGCTGGGCGGGTATTCAAAATATGTCCAGTATTTTACTTAGTTTTTGGCTTAGATAAAATACTTAGCGAATTTTGGTATTCAGTTGAAACCTTTTGCTAAGTACTTTAACGTAAATTTAAGACAGCTCCCTACCATTCTTTAGCTACTTTTTTGGAAACCTTGATTGGCAGGCATATTGTTTATCTAACGCAGTATTATCATGTCCTGCGCACAATTGCTGCAGCAGGCATTTATTGCGACACATTAATTTTGCATTACTTTTGATTGACCCTGGGATGTCACAATGTTTATCAATAGTTTTTTTTGCCATAAAGTCGGCTTGTGAAAGTTTGCATGCATGTCAAGTGAAGCATAAAGATTACTATGGTGATTTGATTTTTTTTGAAAAATGCACTCATTTTAATATTTATGGTAAATTATGCAAATAAGGTAATACAATTCACATTTTTGCCCATTAATCATATATTCTTCATATTTAAACATTAGTTTTTCACTACATATATTCTTAAGACCATTTGGGAAAATAATACAACAAACAGAAATTGGAAGAGCCAGGTTACTCCTCATGTTATCTATTGTTTTTATAATTTCTTTTTTATTTCTTAGTTTTTTTAACTTGTTGTTTTATTTCATTTCTAACTATAATTTAAATATTTTGACCCCCAGAATAAACACTTTAACTATAAACAAGACCAAATAACCAATGTTTTATCTCTTTTTTTGAAAAAAGAGATTTCCATATGTTTTGTACACAAATCACAAAAAAGAGCGATTTTGGGGCTGACATGCAAAGGCACAAGGTCACGTAAATTTGTAACGGTAGGTCTGATTTTTCGAAAAATGGTGCACAAGACTCGAAAGAAAAAAGTCATAAAATTCCAGCAGAACATTGTTTTACGTTAAAAAATTATCGCGAAAAATGTATACAGGGGGAGGGCTTCTAAAGCCCCCCTCCCCAGGCTAGATAGGGTTAAGAATATATACAATTTGAATCATAGCATTCACGCATGAGTGAGAGCATATCACAAGAAACATGTCATGACATTCAGAGCTCCTCATTGGTTCTCATTCTGTGTTTTCATTGTTGAACAAGAATATCTTAGAGACGTACATTTTCATTGAAATTTGAATATCTACTTACTCTTATCTTTTGCAATTTTATTTTTCAGACCGTCAAATGGTTAAATTTGAGAGATTATTAACTACTCTTTTTCTTTTTTTCATTTTTATCTTAAAAGAATCACATAGTGCGGATAATTTGAATCTTCCAAGTAAATTATTCTACTTCAGTGATTCATGTGGCACGAATGAAACACAGTTAGCCATCGCTACAGCATTCCTAAACGCATTCAACTCTTCAGGCTTTCATGAAATCTGCACCGAAGAATGCACAGTGAATAATGTTCAAGTGACATGTGGTCCTTCTGGCCGTCGAAGGCGCAAACGTAGAAGTAGACGAAGGCAGATGGACACACCTGTAGACCTTGGCATATGGGAGGAGCATTTGTATCTACAACATCCTTTCTTCAAAATACATAAGAGATCAGCTCTTAATTTTGAGTGCGTAAATTCCTTATTTCAGTTTATAAAATTTGCAATAATTTTTTGGAGGGTTAGCATGGCATTTTTTTGGTAGGGAAAAAAGTACTATTGACATTTACACTTCCTAAGGCCAATTTTACATAAATTGATCTATTTTTTGCAGTCCCAACAGATTCAATTTATTTTGAGTTACCTGTTAGAAGTTACAATACCGTAGCGCTTTTCAAAAACAAGAAATTGTGAAAATCTCTATTTTTAGTATTTTTCACATCGTAAATTATGATCCATCATACTGTCAGTGGATTATTCCTGTAAAATGGTATTGACTTCAGAAAGTTGTAATTTTTCTCTTTATAGTTTTATTGTCTTTTGAGTTGCATTGTGGATTTTATACATTTTCACTTAGAATTTGTTTCCTTCAGAATCGTCATAGGATTTTCCCTTGAAACTAATTTGATCGTGGGCGAAGGTCAGACGGACTTTGATGCAGCGCTAGATGCAGAGGATAAAATGATTGGTCTCGTGGAGACTCTCATTGAGGATGGCCAGCTGGACCTGAGCTCTAGTGTCGACGGTTTCACTGCTGTACTGGATGAGAGCTCATTCAACTATGAATATGTTGAATTGGTTTGCGTCCCTCCCTATACAGCTAACAACGATGTCTATCGCTGTGGTAAGATGTCATGTAACAACTGTATGTGCCAAACGTGGAAGAAAATGCAACTTTATATCCCGTTAACATCACTCTTTAATCCTAGAAAGGCAGGAATACTGTTTGTTATTTTGGTGCTCCCTCAGGTGGTAGGATGGGGCTTTCCCTTCTCCCTAGGATCGTGGCTATATACACAAATGCATGTGTAGATGGGGCTTTGCATGAAGAATATCTATGACTGACACGGTCTTGAAATTATCGCAAATTTATTACCGGTATACACATATATTGACCTTTTTGCATTGTATACAATACATACAGGTATAGAGAAATTTTGGCTGCCCATGTCACGGTTCTTATTTTGCACAGTACTTGTTGGCTAAAGTTTCATAAATTTTGCATATGAATACCGGTAGATAGTATCTGTTAATCAAAGCTGAATGCATGCACAAAGTCATGAAAGCTTGCTTGGTGGATTTTGTTTCCTTCCCCCAGTCCCCATCCTCTTGTTCATGCAGTAAACATCATGTATACATGCATGTAATGATTTCATACACTTAGGTTAGTCTCTATGGCTACATAGGCCATCATCACATGCCCATTCTCAAATACAGTGCATGCACATGTACAGTTATCAACGAACTAATATACACACCTTCCATAGCATGGCTTGACCATGCAAGAACACTTAATAACGATATTGTACGGAAACGTTTCAAGAACTGAGAAGACAAGGGTCCTGGGAAAGTCCACCTCTGGAGATGGATACGCTTATATTCCATCAGAGATAGCATCATGATCGGATTATGGGATACTTCTACAGCAGCGTACACGTGATATACTTACGTTTCAATTATTTTCTTTTTTTTCTCTTCTGTGGATAAAAAAAAACAACAGGTGTGCTATCTTTTTGCATTTAACCAGAATTCATGTGCCTTTGATTTGAATATGGATGGGTTTTAATTCTAGTTAATCAATATACCGGTACCTGTATTTAGTATTCTGTAATCTCTCTTTTCATTCATTCATTCATTTTTATTTTTTCATTTCCAACAAAATATAATACATAATAACGAATACAATGTAAAATGTATACAAAACATAGTTACATTTGTAATATAAACAAATCTTAATAATAATTTATACATTTTAGTAAGACAACAAATGAATTTTAAAATTTAACTGCATTTATATATTCTTGGTAATATGCTTACTACTATTCATATTTATTCTCTGTTCAATTATGTAGTACCATGTGGAAGTGGTTTCTACTATGGCAATGAAACCCAGGAATGTATCCAGTGTGAAATAGGGACATATCAAGACACACATGGACAGTTCTCATGTCATCAGTGCCCCGAAGGACAATCTACTATTGCAGTCGGATCCGAGAATGTGACCCAGTGCATAGGTACAAACATTCACTGAATTTGTAATTGTGAATGCCCTATTTCAAAGGAAAATAATCATTGAATATGAAGCATAGATTTACTACACTTTATTATTTGAAAGGGATCAGTGGAATCTTTGGGTCTTTAATGACATATTTCCTTTCAAATTGATACATATTATTATTTTGTAATTCTAAATTGTTTAATGTTACACTGGAGAGAGAAATAAACACTTCCTTATTATAAGTAGAGTCCCTTGCTATTTTAAAGAAGACCAGTAACCAGTGACAAAAAAACTATACATGGGCTTCAAGGAAATCACCAAACAGTTGTATTAAATCTACATAAAATAGGAAAATAGTTGCAAAAATTAGTTGTATGCTACTTACTGTGCATACAGATTCATGCTAGCAAATTAAATGTACCTCATCATATTTTTGTGTACACTTTGTGAGAGAGGAGTTGCTTGGTTTCATCAGAAAAGTAGGGTGCTTAGTACAAGTATTTGTTAAAACTTATTTTTGTCTAGAACACATTTTTTACAATACCCTCCCTCCGGTATATATTTTCTCATTTCATCCTTTCACATCAAGACATCTGCCAGCCTGGTTATAGCTCGTTCACCGGTCTAGCACCATGCAACCATTGCCCGATAGGAACCTATCAAGAGGAATTCTTTGCTACAGAATGTACCAGCTGCCCTGTTGGCACGACAACTGTAAATAAAGGCTCTACTTCATCTCTTGAATGTATTGGTAAGTACATGTATCTTTGGCTTAGGGCCATTTGCTTTTTTTTTTTTTACAGAACACTGCCTTAGCTTTTTGAAATTTCTGAAAAATTTATTTTGGATAATCTTACAACAATCATGCTGTACTCACAATTACGTTCTATAGCTTTGAGGTGGAACCACCATAATCAAACCATGTGTACATCTCTTGAAGGCACAGGCTGACTGCCACAGGTCCAGTTTGAAAATGGGTTAATATGACCAAGGTCAAACTGTAGATGAACGAACATTCTCTAGGTGGTTTAGGGTCAATAAGTCAACAGTCATGCCAGATTAAAAGCATTACACTTGATCGATAATATGTCTGAGGCAGAGGCATATAATTCTTTTTTTTTTTTTTTTTTTTTTTTTTTTTTAATAATTTATTTTATTTATTTATTTTTATTTATTTTTTAATATTTTTACTAACATTAGTTTCCTTACTTAAATATTTTAAGAGTAACATTTGAGATGGTATTAACAACATTTTTAAACAGCGTTCTCCCATTTCCCTGGAATTATGTCTTTGCCATATTACTATTATTGCTTAGTGTAAAGTGCCAGAACCATGCACTCGTGAAAGCTTGAAATGGCATGATTTTCATATGCATGTGGCATTCTCACTCACTCATACAAGCCAAATTATTTTTGTGTGATTCCTTTTGTATACATTGTGCAGAGTTTTGTGCAGCTGGAGAGTACTCTCCTTCAGGCTTCGTGCCTTGCATGGCATGTCCGCTTGGTACTTATCAGAGTGGAATTCAGCGAAGTGCATGTCATCAATGTCCTGGTGAAACTACAACACTGCAGAAAGGTTCTACTGATGCATCCATGTGTGTTGGTAAGGATTGCCTGAAAACATCTTCTAAGCAATGAATGCATATTGAATGTTAAATGGAATTCATTTTCAAAAGAGGGAAGGTCCCCTTGGCATAAGATTATCCAAACACCAATTTGAGTGACCTCAATCTAATGGATCCTCAGTCACCTGCAGTGCACGTACATGTGGTATTATGATAATAGTGATACACCCCTGTACATCTAGCGTGTGGTGCATTCTTGCATCATGTTAGATTCATGCACCGCACATACTTAAACTATCTGAACCTCAATGCTGGCGGTGCTCTATTTTTTAACGTACTTGAAAATTAGCGAATTTGCTTAGAAGGTTACTTCTTGTGTAATTGCCCATGCATGCCTTCTATATTCATTGTCATCTGAATAAGTGCTAAGTTAATGTGAAGTAAAGTAAAGTCTTATTTCATATATTCTAGCTTTGACTTTTTTTTTTAGGTGATTGGCGCACTAAATAAAATAGTCAAAGGTTTTCATTTTAACATCATACAATCTACCATTTCCTTAACATTCTGCATCGGTTTTTACAGATATTGATGAATGTGAGAGCGAGCCATGCCTACATGATGCAAGCTGCCTTGATGGAACTAATTCCTTCACATGTATCTGTGGATTAGGATATACAGGGCCTACGTGTGGTGATCAGATTCTACCGTGTGACTCTGATCCCTGCCTCAATGGAGCATCTTGTGTGGATAAAGTCAATCAGTTTACATGCATGTGTGCTCCAGGATATACAGGTATAAACATGAACTGTTTGCTTCCCCAAATACGTTTGACCTAAAACTTGAAATACAATATGATACGGGTAGGGAGCTTCAACTGATGAAGCTACTATACAGCAGGCCTTAATGACAATGCTTTTGATTTGGACAAAAATCAGGCTTGAACTTCATAACAAATTACATTTAATGATATGATCTTGACATACCGGTTATTTTGACTCATAATTTCAGATGATTGATTTTATAAATAGGCTTTTAAAATGTTTTATAAGGAAACAGAAACATGATGCATTTATTTTTGTAACGGTTAGGACATTGATCACATTGCCATAATCAATAGAACTGATTAATGTTTAGTACTTTATCTGCATTTCCATAATAATAGGAAATTATTCAAAATGTCCACGCTCGGGAAATGCTCATTCACTGTGTAGTTAGTGAATGTATGTGTATCAGAAGCATAGTAACTTTTTTTCAGGATACTTATGTTTTTAAAGTTTTTATTAAATATCTCTTAAAGTTATAACTGGCAGGAATTTTCATGCCATATTCATTTTTTAAATTTGACCTATAGTTCAAGAAACAAAACAATCCTGAAATGAATTCTTTTTACATCAAATAACAAGGATCTGGGAGTATCATGTATACACAAATGATGCATGTTTTCATTCCTTCATTACAGGATCCATCCACTCTTGTTGAGGCTGTTTCTGCTTCATATGAACCCTAATGGCTTTGAAGGATTGATGCATACAGCTACACTTGAGTGCGGATAAATTGTATAATGAACTCAATCGCATGCATCATTTGTATGTTGTTATCCGGTTAGGATGCTCGTGATGAAATATAGTGATATATAGATCATGTTTGTATAATTGGTGTACAGTATAAACTTATATGAATTGTACATAAAAATAATACATGTGTTCATTCAACAGGCTCGGTTTGCGAGACCGAAATCAACTATTGTGATCCAAGACCATGCAAGAACAACGCAACCTGCAAGAGTAGCCAAGGCCATTTTGAGTGCTTTTGCCCGTTTGGATTTGATGGTGAAACCTGCTCAAAGGAAATAGATTACTGTGTTGATACTCCTTGTCAAAACAGTGCATCCTGTGTAATGTCTGAGCTCTCCGCAGCTGGTTACAAATGTATTTGTGCAGAGGGATATAAAGGAGTGAACTGTTCTATTAACATTGATGATTGTAAGAGCAGTCCTTGCTTAAACGACGGTAGTTGCAATGATAGCGTCAACAGTTTCACCTGTTCCTGTGCATCTGGATTCAGAGGTCCGACATGTGATGAAGACATTGACATGTGTGCAAATTTCACCTGCCAAAATGGTGGCACTTGTGAAGACCTGGGAGACAGAGCAGTCTGTGCATGTCATGTAACCTATGCTGGACAGTTCTGTGATGAAGTCAGGACAGCATGCAGTGACTCTTCCTGCATAAATGGAGGCACATGTACAGCTGTTGATGATACCACCTTGGCCTTCGACTGCACCTGTACCGAGGGATACATTGGACAGACCTGTGAGACAGAGGTCAACTTCTGTCAGCCAGATCCTTGTAGGAATGGAGCTACTTGTGAGGATCAACCTATAACTTACATCTGCCACTGTCCTGATGGATTCACAGGTAAGTAAACTAGCCTTTCAGTTGAGTTCATTTTAACACTTGCTGAATCTTAGTTTACTTTGAGTTAAAAGATGAAAACAAAACCAAATTCCAGGTAGATTTGCTGTGGGATACTATCATTAATGTCAACAAGTGTGTACATGTTTTTTTTTTTTTAAGGGGAAACCTGTGCTGAGGAGATAAGATGGTGTGATGACATTCCATGTGGACTGAACTCAACCTGCATAGAAGAACCTCTTTCCTTCACTTGCCTGTGCGATGTAGGTTACTCTGGAGAGAGATGTGAAGAGGTGTTGACTGTCTGTGATGCCCAAGACCCTTGTCTCAATGGAGCTACATGTAGCGGAGACTCTCTTACATTTCAATGCCAGTGCTCACCAGCATATCAAGGTGATTTTAATCAGTATTGAGTTTATCAGAGAGGTAGAAAATAATGTTAATATAATGGACAAAGCTGACTAATGGAAATTTAAGCTGTAATGATCATCTATTCCAACTGATTATTGGTTCAGATAACAATCTAAAACACCACGAAAAAAAAGAGAAAAAATTAAGTTTGAAAAAACAAGGAAATATATAAGAATTTCGTAAAACTAGATATTTCTTTTTCTGTAATAATACGGTATGCTTTTGAGGTACATTTAGAACTTGCATATCTCCAAGACCTTTAACAAAAAAATTGATTATCAATTTAAATGTATATTTATATTTGTATATATTATTAATATAACATGAAAAAAATAAGAATTACATACAAACATTATGACGAATCTGTGTCCTTTATGCCATTTTCGAGGTCTGTGCAAAGTTTTGCGGCAATCGGTCATGTCACAGCCGAGATCTTGCAAAAAGGGAAGTTTCTTACTGTAGTATAGCAAATCATTGAGTGACACACGATATATGTGCAGCCCAAAGGGGGTATTTCAAAATAAGCACCATATTTTAGGATTTTGAGGTTCATGTCCTTGTTTCTGCTTTCCTCAACACAGGGTTGTTATGCGAGCATGAGATCAACCCTTGTGCTTTTTCACCCTGTCTAAATGGAGGTTCCTGTGTGAAGGATCTAGTGTCCTATCGGTGTAACTGTGCTGCAGGATTTGAAGGAATACACTGCGGAGGCGATCAGGATGAATGTGCAAGCGAGTAAGCTTATCCAAGTATTCCGGACAATGATCTACTAAAAGAACACTCTCACATAATCCTACATACATGTATGCTGCAGCCTGTACATTATTGCTTGCGTTTCACATAACTTGTATCTGTATAAGGGCACAAATGTGTTCTTGTTAAAGATAAAGTTGAGTTCTGGTCATGCGATTGCATTGTGAAAGAAACCATGTGCAATCGATCAGAAAAAGTTGATCATGAAGTATATGAGTCAGCAAAATAATAAGAAATTTGGCCCAGTTGAATGGCTTAAGTATTGGTTGATATATGACCATCTGAATAAATAGATTCCTGATGGGAGCTCAGTGTTATATTGCTCTGGTTCATATCATTAAGAAACGGAAAGTCAATTTTCATTCATATTTATTATGTTCAAAGTTAATTTTATGCCGGTCAATATCAGGTCAAAAAACGTGCACCAGTGTGCGTGCAAAATTTAAAAATGCTCAAAATTGTCTCAAATTCATTTTGCATATGTTTCAGGCCATGTTAAGCATTTTTCTCTTTATGACCATAAATAACAAAATGAGCGTCCATTAACGATTAATGTCCATGCGCGCGAGCTCTTGTAATACGTAGCATATATGGGCAAAAACATACCTATACAAGATCCATTATAGCTCTTTGGGATGCTTGGGAACCCCAATTTTGTTTTCTTCATATTTGGATAGATAAGAGTATAAGTCGGAAATATGATTTCATGTCTCATTTGGCCATTCAATTTATTGTCATAATAGTGCAAAATTTCAATTGAAGGCGACATGTCAGAATTTTCTTAATTTATGTGTTATGCCTATGGAAGGTGAATTTCGTTCACATCATAAATCTACATAACATGACATTGTTCTTTGAGCAGTATCACGCTTAATTATTTTGCTCCAGTTTCTCCCAAATGTTGTTATATATAGCTGAGAGTATGGGCTATAGGGGACATTCCTTTTGATTTTTGATCTGATGTTGGGAACATGACTAAATTTACAATTTAAAGTTGAAATTGCGACTATGCCAAGTCCTTTTGTCAACTTTGCCTGTAAAGTCTATGAGAAATATTTTAATCCATTAGTTAAAGCATTTGCCCTATTCAGTCATTCCTGGTTGAAGGTTCGATTCCCGTTGGGTCAATTTTTTTTTGCTTCCATTTTCCATTTGATTTTATCACCTTCTTCGACTATCATAACATAAAACAATCACAAACAATGTATAGAATGCCTAATTTTGTGTGATATTTCTTTGGGAGATGAATGTCAATAGTTTGTATACAACCCTATGGGAAATCTGATTCCTTGTCGTGTATTAAACCCATATATTAGATAGCTTAGACAGATACCGAGATGTGATTGGTCCAGAGCTCGTCACGTGATATCAATTGCGAGGATCCAAATTGTTATATTTTCCTGGCCGGCTATATTTTACCAGCTGGTGAAATGAACATATTTTTAATCAATGCATGTCGCCCTCTTGAGGACTGTATGTCACCAATTACACACATTACACCATTACCGAGGGTCATTTTTTTTTTCATTAATTTTTTTTTCCCTTGAAATTATTTTTTTCCACATTTTCTTTTTTTCCCGAAAAATGCTTTTTTGGGTACCGTAAGAATTTATTTTTTTCAATTTTTTTTTTTTTTCCCCAATTTTTTTGTTATAACCTTTTTTTTCTAAACTTTTGATAGTCCCAAAAAAAATTTCGGAAAAAAAAAATATGAACCCCCCACCCCCCCAAAAAAAAAATCAAACCAAGGCTATCTAATATAACAGTTATTAACTGGCAGAGGGTATATAACATTCTTTGGACCTGAAGGGAGTTATATTTTCCCTTGTGAACATATTTTCCCTCAGCGCTGCGTGCTTCGGGAAAATATAACCACTTGGGGAAATATAACTCCCTTCAGCGGTCCAAATAATGTTATATTACAGCCCCTGCCAGTCAATAACTGTATAAAAGAGTTAATCTCCCTAGTATGCTACGATATCAAATCGTCCCATTTCTATGATGCTAGTCTCCTTCCCAGATGTTTATATTTTCCCGTTATTCAGCCCAGGTATATGCAATGTTCACGTCTCTCCCACGGACATAAAATTGTTTACATGTCTATAACTTCTCTCTATATAGTAAATATTTAAAAGAAATTATGCTGGAAATATTGAATGCATCATTCTCCATTGCATCTCTCTCTCTCTCTCCTCTCTCTTGCTTTGTTTTCCTTCTCCTCTGTTGTTCTGCACCCTCTCCTTCTCTTGCTCCGTCTCTGCATCTCTCTCTCTCTCTCTTTCTCTCTCTTTCACCGCCTCCCTCTCTGTGTCTCCCTCTCTTGCTCTGCCTCCCTGTTCTTCTCTTGATCTGTCTTCCTCTGTCTCTGCCTCTCCTTTTCTCTACTCTCTCACCTCTGGCTATCCCTCTTTTATGTCTTTGGACATTCCTTAATCTTCTCTAGCTCTTTCCTTTGCCCTTTGTATTCTTATTTTACCCCAACCATGTTTTCTTACTTACCTCTCTTCTTCAAAGTGTGTGCATTCTGCTTCCTCTTTTATCCCTCTGTCCAGCTCATGTATTTTTATATGACTATACACCGTCTCCCTCTCTCCTTCCCTATATCTATCTACTGCCATACATCTCTCTTTCTCTTCATCTCTTCAAAAGAGATCCTTTAAAAAATGTCCAGACCACCTCATTCGTCTTCAGTGACGAATTCTTATTTCGTTATTATGTTATTGTTTTTGTTCTTTTATTTTCAATTTTTGTTGCTGCTTTAATTAGTATTTGCTTGAACTGGACCTATAGATTTAATCTCATATATATATATATATACATTTTGTACAAGGCAATGTTAAATACACTCATGTGCAGTCAGGCAAGAATACAATAATTGCATAATATATATGAATGTTACCATAATCAGATATATGCACTTTCATACAAATTAAATAATCCCCATCTTTCCTCTCAATCAATAAAGTTGATTTATAATAACTTTTGTTGTTACATATAGACAAAACACAGCATTAATCAATCATCTTCTTCATGTTGCTTTGTTACTTCATTACATTTATTTGTATCTCTTGCATATTCTTTCTCTTCTTAAATAGGCCATGTGAGCATGGAACATGCATTGATGGAATCAACTCTTTCTCCTGTGACTGTGAAGCTGGATACACAGGCCATACATGCAGTGAAGACAAGTTTTGTGATGCCAACCCATGTCAGAACGGGGGATCTTGTGAAAACCTAAACACAAAATATCGGTAATGTAAACATATAACAAGGGTTATTAGCATAGTATAGCTGAGTTTAAAAAAATTTTCATAAATTTAACCTCTTCCATATAAATTGTTGGGAGTGGCCCCCATTTCTATGAACATCCGACTGCTGATGCCTTTGTTCTAATAAGCGATTTAAATCTAATTTGATAGTTTTATTAATTGTCTATTCCTTTCTACATTGCAGTTGCTCGTGTGCTCCAGGATTTCGGGGAAGAACTTGCAGCAGGCAAATAGACTACTGTCGTCGAAATCCATGCACAAGTGGAAATACTGTAGGCTGTGAGAATGTAATCGGTAGTTACACATGTGTGTGCAAGGATGGATTCACTGGATTAGAATGTGAGTCTGAGATCAACGAATGTGAGATGTCACCATCCCCATGTAAGAATGATGGAAGGTGTATCAACCAATGGGGAACATTCACCTGCCAGTGTCAAGTAGGCTTCACCGGTAACCTGTGTGATGTAAGTATAGCCAGGTGTACTCATCTTTACAAAGATACTGAACAATTCAGGTGCTTTATGTGCTTCTTTGCAGAGTCACTCCTTTGCCACCCAAAAAGGCATTGATTGAGGGAAGGATTGCTTTTGTGCAACACAGTTGCTTTACAAACTTACCCATTTCCAGTCTTGATGAGCTCCATGACAATCATTTTAACTCTGGTACAGATTAATCTTGCACAGGAAACAGTTAACTAATTTTGAAGCCATTGGTATAATGTGTATCCCAGGAAAAATTCAATGTGGCACTGGGAGATTTAATATGAGGCATATGAAAAAAGTTGACAATACAGAGGGCAGTCATATAATTGTTCAGAAACGGGGTGATGCCTTTTTCCATAGACATGATAAGTAGACATGTTTTTACAGGAAATATATTGAGACCCTGTTGAAGTTGGAGGAAAAAGGCACTAAAGAAAATATTCTCCTTGAAATAATCCTTTTGACTCGGATTCAGAGAACTTTTCCTGGGATATATAATATCCTAGCTTAAAACTGGATGCTGCCAACCTTTAAAAAATATACTAGTATTTGACCTTTTAAATTTTTCTTGCATGTTTTCATTTTCTCAAAAGAAGGGCCACTACCCATTCCCTCTCCTCTCTTTTTAAAATTGTTCATGTACATGAATTTCACATCATTTTGTAAACAGTATCCATGTAGTCCATATCAACAATCTGCTTTTTTTTTTTTGCATTTGTGTAGACCATATCGCATTATAATATAAAGCTTCTATGTATGCCAAAGTACCAGATACTTGTTGCATTACATCTGTGTTGACACTGGTACATATTATTTATTATCAAAGGACATGTAGTGCCTAATACAGGGCCTATTTACATAATTTAACTTTTAAATTGTTTTTTGTGTAAGTCTGCCTTCTACTCCTGCCCTTACCACAGAGAAACTTATACACTGTACCATTAAAAAAAACATTTCAACAGATAAACATTGATGACTGTGTGAGTCATGGCTGTGAAAGTGGGGCGTCCTGTGTCGATGGAATCAATAGCTACAGCTGTCTTTGTACTGAAGGAAGATATGGGTTATGGTGCCAGCTGAAGTTAACACCATGTGATAACAACCCCTGCTACAATGGTGGTGTGTGCACTGTTAATAGAGATGGTTTCCTCTGTGAATGTCTGTCTGGTTTTACAGGACCTTCCTGTGAAGTCGACATTGATGACTGTGTCAATCATCGCTGTGCTAGTGGCTCGACATGTGAAGACCAGGTATTTCTAAGTGACTTCAAATATGAAGTAGCTAAGATATAAGTAAACTCTACCTGACAGTTTAAACCTGTCAGACAGACGTGTTTTTTTTCCATCACGTGGTGCTGTAACATAACACCTGCTATATACCAAGGGGCCCATACCGTTTGATTTAAATTATGACAAAATATGGCACGTCGTTACCGTTCTCATGGCCCCACAAACAGGTCCATAACGGCCTTGAATCGGTCCATCGTCCTTATACTGTCTTTGTACCGTCCTCATACCGGGTTCTCACTTGTACCACTGCTTGTACCCACACCAAAACTTTTGCCGGGTCTTGCTAACGGCCCCCCCCCCCCCACCATGTTTATTTGATGGCTCAACGCCCCGCCGTGTACCCTCACCTCGGTCCACCGTCAGCACAAAACTTACCACACGGTGGACGGTGGCACATCATAGGCTTACCGGCACCATGTGGCAGCTACTTCAGCAACAACTCACAGTAGTTTCCCCAATACCTGCTACATAACTATTACATAGACTATCCAGTATTTTACCGCCCAATGGTTTACCATTATATTGAATACATTTTTGTATGGTTAGCTAGCAAAAATAAGGAACCGAAATAGTTGTTTATATAGACTGCACCTTTTATTGCCTGTCTCTTTCCAAGGCCTTTACAATTAAAGAGATTATACACTGTATTTCATTTGTTTTTGTCATAAAGTGGGATAGCTACAGCTGTATATGTCCACAAGGTATAACTGGAGACCTTTGTGATCAGGAAATAGATGACTGCCTTTGTGATCCTTGTCAGCATGGAGCAACGTGTATTGATGGAAGATCAAGTATTACATGTACCTGCACAAGTGGTTAGTGACAAGTATCAATTTTTCAGGCATGAGATTCCACCGTGGATACACAGATTTTCCATGGTTTAGAAAATTTTAGGGAAATAAAAAAAGGGAATGTAATTTGTCTTGGTGTATGCCTGGTTAGTTGCAGCTAGGATCCAATTGGTCAGAGATGTGAATAGCAAATTGAGCCACTGACGTAATAATATCTCGCTCAAAATGCCAGAAAATGTGTCACAACTGACTTAGCGTACAGTTTCAGGGAGAGTGATACCTTGCCTTAGATAATATTCCTACATTTAGAAGTAGTATAACTGAATACGTTTGCAAAGCAATGGCACAAGGTTTTTCAATAATCAACCTCAAAACATTTGAATTTCCCTATTTCATACCTGTGCTTAGATATTTTTGTACCATTGCTCAAGCAGCCGGGCCGAACTTTAATTAGAAATCTCTGCCCATACACAGGTTCACATGCACAGATAGCAGATCATATTAAGGATCAAGAAAAAATAATGTGAAATGGAGAAATAAACCCACATTTGTATGGTTATTAGAGATCTACCAAGGTTAGTTTGGTGGTCTAGTTTATTGTTTCATTTAAAATCAAATTTAGAATTCTCTCATTGACAATTTAAGAAGACCTATTATGGTTACATTCATTTTAGCGAAAAGCTAGCCGGTCGGCCAGCTGCACAACATACTCTTTTCATATCCCAGTACATTGTACTTTTGTGTGTAACAAATCTAGTGCTGGCGTTAGTAGCCTCATTGGCTCCCCGCACAATGATCATCTTATTCTTGTAACAGTAATCTCTTTTTTTTTTCCTGTTTTGGGTGTTTATATTTGAAATCTTCAGAGAGAGATTATAGTTTTGTCACTTTATTTCAGGATTCATGGGAAAGTTTTGTGAGGTCGACATTATGGAATGCTCCTCAGACCCTTGTGTCAACTTTGGTACATGCATAGAAGGAACTGATCGGTTTGATTGCCAATGTGCAGAAGGTTATCGGTAAGTCTCATACAAATAAAAATCAATCAGATTTCAAATTAGGTTCATCAGAATAATTTTTTAACATTATTATCAAAGTTATTACAAAAAAGAATCTTTTCATTTTCCTGGTGATGGGATAGTGTTTATGGAGAGAATGTATGTAAAAAGGATAGACTAATGCCTGATTGGACACATTTTAAGGGGGAATAATATGCTTTGAGATGGCCATGATGAAAGTGAAGATGGATAGCAGAAGGGGAAGAGACAGACCTATAAGCATGATGGTGTATGAAATGAAGTATGACTCACCTTTTGACATCATGAAGAAGAAGGCTGAGGATAGGAAAGGTGGGAGAAGGGAGTGACCAGATAACTCCGGTGTGTGGACCTGCCTGGACAAAGAAGAATATTTGTGAGGATGCAGGATATTTGTACTTGAGCATTTTTAACTGTTGAGTAAAAAAAACCTTTTATGTTAAATTATGGAAAGTGCTAAAGGATCTTGTAATGTGCTATCATGAGATATCCATTTTTATGCCTCCGCTACAAAGTAGCCGGAGGCATTATGTTTTCTGGTTGTCCGTCCGTACGTACGTCCCGTTCTCGTGATCGCGTTATCTCAAGAACCAATTGATGGATTCCCTCCAAACTTTGGTCATGTATGTATCTTACAGAGCCAATGAACTGATTAGATTTTGGGTTCACAAGGTTGAAGGTCAAAGGTCACAGGGCTCATTATGTATGCAAAAATAGCTCGTGATCACATTATCTCAAGTACCGGTCAATAGATTCCTGCCAAACTTGGGTCATGTATGTATCTAACAGAGCCAATGAACTGATTAGATTTTGGGGTCACAAGGTTGAAGGTCAAAGGTCACAGGGCTCATTATATATGCAAAAATAGCTACTGATCATATTATCTCAAGTACCGGTCAATGGATTCCTGATAAACTTGGGTCATGTATGTATCTAACAGAGCCAATGAACTGATTAGATTTTGGGGTCACAAGGTTGAAGGTCAAAGGTCACAGGGCTCATTATATATGCAAAAATAGCTTGTGATCGCGTTATCTCAAGAACCGGTTGATAGATTTCTGCCAAACTCAGGTCATGTATATATCTTACAGAGCCAATGAGCTGATTGGATTTTGGGGTCACAAGGTTGAAGGTCAAAGGTTACAGGGCTCATTATGTATGCAAAAATAGCTGTGATCGCATTATCTCAAGAACCAATCAATGGATTCCTGCCTAACTTTTGTCTTGTATGTAATTAACAGAGCCAATGAACTGATTAGATTTTGGGGTCAAAGGTCACAGGGCTCATGATGTATGCCTATAAATAGCTTGTGAGTGCATTATCACTAAAACCGACAGATGGATTACAATCAAACTTGAATTTTTTAAATTGCTCTATGGCGGAGGCATCATTTTCGACTGCGCGCAGTCAAAATTTCATCTAGTCTTATTATTGTATTCCCCTGGGGAGAATAGTTGAATCCAACAGTACAGTGTAACACCTCTGCTGCATCACTTTACTTCACTTGTGTGCACTTTAAATATACTGGCCACATTTCTTGACAAGTATATTTCTAGTTGTGAACATAAGTGTATCATGGTTCAATCTAGACCCCAATGGGTTTTGTGGATGCTGTCCTTAATGTTCCACCCTTTATAAGGCATGGTTCGTATTTGAGCGGGTGTCTTGTGTACCCTCTACACACAGGCCACATTTCTCTACAGATTTAGTTCAAATTTGGTATGGTGATTTGTCATTTGTCCAGTAGACACGTCTCATTTTTGGTGCTGCTGCTTCATGGTCTTATGCAGGGATATACTTGTGCTTGTATGTTAGTGTACATGGTAACTTCTTATTTATCTTTGAATTTAATTAATATTTGTTTGGTATAAGAATATGTTTCATGGCCCTAATGGGAAAGTCTAGATGCCTATTGATTTGGGTGTTGTTGCCACCATTGTTATAGATACAATGAATTGCTATGCTATGTGTTTACAGAGCCATGACATCATATAAAAAAAAACATTAATTTAGACTTAATGATATGATTTGTTTTTGTTTCATTTTGTGTCCTTTCAGGGGCACAACGTGTAAAGAATTTGTTAGCTCGTGCGTGTCCAACCCATGCAAGTATAATGGCACCTGCACAGATGGCTTCATGCAGTACATGTGTACATGTGCTGCAGGTTATACAGGAGACACATGTGAGACAGGTATATACATATACTAGGTTTATGTTTCTGTTGGTAGCCTCTGTTTAATGTGTACTGTACATCAGATAATGTTGTACACTGTAGTTTATTTCTTGTGTAATAGAAGGGTGAATTAAAGCACTGGAATATTCCACTATGGGATGATGACTAAGATAATGTTTTAGAGGGCTACACCAGTATAAAAAAGAAGAATGAATATTCAATTATTGCAATAGGAATCAAGATATGATAAATTGTCTGTAGCAATTACAGCATGAACTCATAATACAGCTACAGCCTGTTTCAAAATGAATGATGTTGAAATCAAAAGTTTCTTTCAATTACATGTTTCTGTCATTTTTACCCTAGTTATTCCAGACAATTATGATCTTAGACTCAATGATCAGATGGCATCCATTAGTTTTTCTGCTTCTGTGGTCGATGGGTCTCCAAATCTGACATTATCATTCTGGGTGAAAGTGCAGATGGCATATCCGAATAAACAACTTTTGGACATGCGGATTGGTAACTTCAAGTTCAGTGTCCAAAATCCTTGCGGTCTTGCATTTATACAAACCGGGTGAGTACATATTTGTGATCCAACTTCTCCAAAATGGCAGTCCTAGTCCATCCCTGGCCAGGGGGTGTTTCATAAAGCTGTTCGTAAAGTTACGCATGACTTTACGAACAACTTGTATATGAAAAGCCAAATGGGATGCTCAATCATTATTAACTGCATCAACTAAAGTTGAACTGTGCAGATGTAGATTAACATTCTTATTATAACAAACATTTTTAATGCAAAGTATATTTTTTGCCATAATTTAATTGAGGGTATTGAAAATATCAGAAAAAACTTTGGGCATCCTATCTGGCACTTCATATACAAGTTGTTCGTAAAGTCATGCATAAATTTACGAACAGCTTTATGAAACACCCCCCTGGTCGCATGACAATTTATAACTGCGTGTCGGGCCAAATTGAACAACGATCACCATCTTCTATTCATGTATTGCTTTTCCTAAATTTGCAGTAGGCCTTTTACATACATGTTTTCACCCAACAAAAATCCCAGTCAGAATACGATTAACGGTTCACTCATTCATTACAATCAAGAAATGTTTTATATTTCAGTGAAAATTCGTCATCCAGTACGTTGTCTGTATGCGATGATGGCTGGCATCACATGCTGCTGGTATTCCGTGATTCTGGAAGGTGGTCTGCTGCGGTTGATGGCTCCCATGTTATGAGTCAAGATGATGACTCCCGCCAGTATAATTTGTCAGGAACAATGCATCTCTATTTTGGAACTGATGAGCTGGAACAGGGAGGTACATGCAAAATGAGTATACAAATAATAAACATAAGTGACAGTGTTAGGGATTATCCACACAAAGTCTTATAAACCCAAGGGGATAGCTGGGGGTGTATGAACTGTTTCTAAGTAACAGAGGGAGGACAATTACACTTATGCCTGAACTGTGTGATATGTATTATTCTTGTTTTATAACATTTTAATGCAAGTCCTTGTCATTTGCTAGAAATTGCCTTTATCTCTAACATTCCAAAACATTGATTATCATAGAAAGTGTCAAAGTCAAACCCAGAGTAGATAGACCTACACATCGTTTGTGGAATTACTACAGTTGTGTTCAAATGTAAAATGTTTTTGAGAAATTAAACAAGATGAAGAAAAAAATGCATGTTGATGTACACCTGATTATGCACCTGGCATGATGGCTGGTCACTACCAAAACTATGTGTTAAGAATAATAAATACATGGTCATGTGTATGCTCTCAGCCAATCATTTGATTAGGATCTATGTCACACCATTTTATAAAACCGTATTACGTAAACATGCACAATGTAGCAGAAGTAGTAGTAGTAGTAGCAGTAGTAGTAGAAGTGGTAGAAGTAGTAGTAGTAGTAGTAGTAGAAGAAGTAGCAGTGGTAGTAGTAGTAGCAATATTTTGCATCTGACTGAATACAAAGCACATACTGATAATGCTGATAATTCTGAATATATACAGTAGGCTTACGGTTGCACCATGTGGGAAAGGGGGAAGGATTGGGGAGCCCTGAAAAGGACTGTCCACCAATAGTACATTTGATCAAGATAATGCTAATTGATAATGTTACAAAAATGCAGGTACTCTATGAAATGTCATTCTCTGCATTAGATATATTTCATGTCCTTTATAATGAAGTTCATATTTTTCTTTATTCTTCAGGGGTGATATTTTACCATCATGATTATTTTTCATTATTTTTTTTTCTTTTTTGTAGATTGTAAAGGAGATATAATTGGGATGATAAAATAAAAAATAATCATTTTGAATCCTTGGCAGATGTTAAATTTTCCTTCTAATTTATCTCATGTTTGCGCGATGAGTTGTAATATTGATTACATTACTGTAATACACATGCTTTTTTCATTTGTTTGTAGATTCTATTTACATGACTGGCATCAACGTTTGGAATGGATATGTTTCAGATGATGTGTTGTCTAGAGTCACATCAGAGTGCTTGCCACAACTATATGGGAACATTATTTCATGGACAGACTTTGACTCCCACCAAGCTTTTCCTACAACCTCCTCTACTCCCTCAATGTGTGATGGTAAAATATGCATTTCACATATCGTCTGTCCATAGCCAGACGAGCGTTCACTCTGTGTTAGAGTATATGAGTTTTGGCCCAAGTGGCGCCTAACAGACAATATGTGTCTTTCAAAAAATACATCATATTCTACACGTACCAATGAAAAGATTATGTACCTCATTTTTTTATTATCCATAAAATGATATAATGCGCATGGCAGTTAAACTATAAGACGTTTTAACGGTTGATAATAAAATGGGGGTTAATAGGCTGGAAGTAGTAGATCTCCAGACAAAAATCATTGGAACTTGAGATGATGAGACAAGCAAAACCTTCTATGGGTCTATTTCTAAGGCTCCATAGGAATTACCTGGTGAATATTTTAAAATTATGAAATAACCAGCTCTTCAACCCCAACAAGGCTACACTATGAATGTCGCTTTTTAAACATTCTGTATATGGTTTGTTGTAGATACTGACGAATGTGAAAGCCTGACCCCCTGCCAAAATGGAGGTACTTGCATGGACAAACTTCGCTCCTATACCTGCCTGTGTCTTGAAGATTATGAAGGAATAAACTGCGAAAAGTTTATCGACCTGTGCAACAATGAGAGCTGTGAGAATGGAGGATCCTGTGCAACCATGAATAGAACAACTCACTGTTCATGTCCTGATAGATTCTTTGGAGAGTTTTGTGAGCTGGAAATCAGTAAGTACAAATAAGTGGACAATAGTCCTACAAGTATTTGCTTATTTATAAGTTATCCATGCGGAATAAAAAGAAAATGTAAGTGCAGTATGCTTAGTTATGCTTTAACGAACCCCAACAGTAAACCACACCAATTTACCCTCAGCGTATGTAAAGAATCCTTAATAGTTCATTAGGAATAGTTTACAAAATCTTCTAAACTCTATTTTGATTACTTTGGCATTTCTCATCATTTATTGTTGAAATTTCTCTTTCTACAGTCAATGGTGGTTGGAGTAATTGGTTGCCGTGGAGTCCATGCAGTGTACCGTGTGAAGGTGGAACTCGAAATACTTCAAGGGAATGTACCAACCCACCACCTAATGATTATGGACAACCTTGTCATGGAGAAAATACAAAACAAGAACCATGTAATATTCAGGATTGTCCAGGTACGTATACTCTCTTGTGCTCTCTATGTCTAAAGGGATCGTTTAACAATGTTAAATCTGAGATGCACTGCCCTACGTGTTATCAGTGTCTGTGATATGGAATTATATTGAAGCCCTAAAAATTGCGCTTCCAAATGATCAAGAAGTGCCTCAAAAAATTAAAAACGTTTGAATGACTGCTTTTACCATACTTGTTTTCCCCCAAAAGACTGCTGTGTTATGAAAACCATTTGGCAAACGCAAAATTTGATTTTGATTTTCAATCATTAATATCTTGATAATCAGAGAGGCGATCGGCTTGTAAAAGTCATGGGGTTCCTGACTGACCTAAATGTTTATAATTATAATTGCAGCACGAGCTAAATCAAGGATTTTTTTTAAAGGATCTAAGACAAAGTTACCGGATCCCTTTAAAGGGGAAGTCCACCCTGATGTAAATCTGGTTTTGATAAAAGCAGAAATTTGAGCAAATCCGAGTAAAAATAAGAAAGTAATGTACTTTTGAAGTTGTCATCAGTGAAACAGAAAGTATGAAAAGGTATGAAAACATATTTGCAATAATTGTATTTAGGGTGAAGGTATGATTGAAAATTGTCTTCAAGGAAAATATAGTATTTTGAAGTTTCATAGTGCAAGGCAAATGGGAGGGGAGCTCGCAAGATACGTCACAGAGTTGCCAATACATGTTTCATTGATTGCACCTTCAAAAAATCATAACTTTCTTACTTTTCATTAGTTTTTGTTCAAACTTTAACTGACCTGTTACTTTGATTTTGTCTGCTTCCATTAAAACCAACCTAGTATCAGGGTAGACTTCCCCTTTAAAGTCTTTAACCAACGTGCATCTATTGTAGCTGTACTTGCAGCTATGCACAGGACTCATTTGTTTTTTGTTTACCTTGTAATTATTGTCCCTTATCTTGTAATTATTGTCCCTTACTTTAGAATTAGTTTGCCAATACATTTGCTGTTTCATTGCGATTTTGGATGACAGTACAGACATTATTTGACCTTTTGTTTTATAGGTTGCATTCGTCTGCAGGCTCCCGAGAATGCCACACTTAATTGTTGGAGTGAAGGTGAAACTAAAAAGTGCACAGTCAGTTGTAATTCACCTGATATGAGCTTTCTTCGCCCTGTGGAATCGGAGTATTCCTGTAGCCCTGAATCAGATTACAAATGGAATCATGAAAATGAGTACAACCGCAGAGCAAGTTTGCCTGCTTGCAAGGGTAAGTTATGTTTGATAGTAGATTCTGCCCTTTGGGTTCTTTAATACATGTATTCTTTTTTTGACAGCTGTTGTCATTTTTTTAAACTTCTTGTTTGTTGAAATAGACATGTGTATACTTGTACATTGTACTTGTTTCAAGTATCATCTCAAAGAATTATCTGTAAATTTACACTGAAGATCTATCTCTGTATTTTCTACATGCACATGAACAACTGCATACAAGGGGGGGGGGGGGATACAAAAAAAGTCCCGCGTCATTAGATTGAAATTTGAGAAGAATCAAATTAAGATGCTTATTTTAACGTAACAAAAGTAATTTAAAATTCATGTCTGTGAACAAAATCAATATCTTAGTCTGGTATTGAACCAGGACAAACAGCAATGAATCCACTTTTACAGAAGCAGAGTAAAGGGGAAAAGAGAAAGAAAAAAGAGTTTAGAGCTAGGATAAAAGAGAGGAGGAAGAGAGAGGGAGGAGAACAGAAGATTTGTACAAGAGAGAGGGGAGAGAAAGAGAGAGAGAGAGAGAGAGAACAAAGGGGGAGAGAAAAGGAGAAAGAAAGGAAGAGCTTTTAATAAAGGGAGAAAGAGAGCATAATGAAACGATAATAAATACGCAGTCATAGAAGTTTAGATTCATTGAGCAACCCAACAACTTGTGGGATTTAGTACTTGATAGGAAAGGAAAACTCTTTCAGATATTTGCAATTCAGTGTGATATTTCAATGCTATCATTAAAGAGACAATGTCTCCCGATGCTGTGGAGGCAAAAGGCACATTCGCTTATCCAGGTGCTAACTGTGATTCAGATGAAGATCAAGAAAATCTAATGGAGTCCTTCAAATCTACTTATTCGGCCAACAGTAATGGCATTGGCTGCAAGAAATGTGCTCTCTCAAATGTACAGGTAAGTATGTGTATGTAATGCTGTTCTCAATCAGATACAATCTATGTGGTCAATGCTACTGTAAAATACAAGTATTCTTGATGTGAAAAAGTACTTGAATTAATTTTATATTTTCAAGCTTTCTTGAAGCCATGCAACAACAGTTCCATCATCAAGCATTTGAACCATTTGTTCAAGATCTTCTAGTTTCCACTTGGCATTTACAGCCCATTTTTTGATGAAGATGATCAGAGTATCTATTTTGTAATTTTACAAAAATGGAGGCATACAGGTAAAGTATTTGGTCTTATTACCTCAAGTGGTGCAGTTTAAAGAATACATTTTCGTTTGAATTATTTCAATTTTCTAATTTTCTTTGAAAAACCTTTTTTCCCCTCAAGAACAATTGATTATCACGTCTTTCTCTGTTGCAATACCATCAAGGTCAATAATTGTGGTTCATCAAGGAAAAAACGAGCATCGGAAGACCTACCAATCACCATCTCATTCACTGTCAATATCAATGACACAGACAGCAATAGTAAGTCAGAAATGTACTTTCTTTGATTTGTCAAGTTGAGTTGATGTTAAAAATCTTAAAATGTAGATTACCAGTGATGCATGTTACCTTTGGAGAACAAAATTAGTATTTAATTTCCCAATCTTAAATTGAATAAACCAATATAGCATTTATATACAGGACAGGTACATATTTAGATATATAGCATAGACTCAAAGTACACAATGAGGACAAACAAAAAGTTTAAAAGCAAGGATGCAACATATTTTGTTTACTGCTTTTTTTTTTTTTTTTTACATGCAATCCATTTTACGGTTATGATCAGGGAAAGCAATTAAAGTTAACTTCCATTAAACAACGTGTGTAGATGCTATAATTGCTTTTTTGTATTTTATCTTGTTTTATTAGCTACGGTGGCAGAATCGTTTGATGCATTAGACACCGGTTTTGAGAACCTTTTGGAAAACGGATCCTTTTCATTGATGGTAAATGGTGAGCTCATTAGCGTTGACCTGAATCAAAGTACTGGAGATGTCAGTATTACTTGCCCACAAGGATCCGGTTTGTCTGATAATGCAAATTGTGGTAAGTCAATCAGGTTACAGGGATATGCCAGAATTGCATGGAAAATCAATGCTAAACAAAATGAGTTCTTTAAGTAGAAGCCGTAAACATACCTCGGCGAAATGAGTAGAAAGAGTACAACAACATTATTATTAGCATTTGTGAAATTTGTAACCATACATAAGAAGATCTGCAATTATGCTTGAGTCATGTAAAAAGTAGTACCCTTTCAATATTGCACAAAAACAAATTAAAACCTCGTTTTCCGCACCCCTCCAAATTACGGGTAAAGAGGGGTCAAATTGCTGCAGTTATGATGACAACATGACATGCTGACCCGATCGGCTCACCTATGTAGCTGAGGCATTGAACCATACTTAATTGATGTAAGTGAAGTTATTGTGGATGATGTCAAGTCGCTAACTATTTTTAGTATTACGTTCAGATTTTCAAAGTTGTAGATTTCAAGTTTTTTTGAGAGAGACCTGTTACTCCTGTGAATAGCATATAATTTATATTATTGTAATGTATGGCTCATAAGCTTTCCGTTGATATATAATTCATCCATTTTTCACTTCCGACAGGGTCTTTAAACTACATGTACATGTGTCTCAGAAAATTTGTTGTTACAACAACAAATTTTCTGAGACACATGTACATGCAGTATAAAGACCCTGTTGGAAGTGAAAAATGGATGAATACACATGTACATATTTAATTCGAACCTGGAATGGACACACAATTTTGGTGGAACGCTAACTTTGTTGACCATGACATTATCAAACAAAATGTTTTTACACATTTACACTGCATTTGAATTTCAAAGGGCAGTTTTACAGTAAGCTTTTACAGTCCCTTCACAAGTATATATATAATGCATATATAACATGTATCACAAGTACATGTATACCTGCCAAACATGCTTTTTTTTTATTTGGGCTGTTAATCAAACCTTGCAATCTTATTCTCCTTGAACTTAGGCAAAATTAATAGTCTTAATATTATTGGTAATCAATTATCTTAGTCAGTATTATGGCACATCAAGTGGGTAGAAAGAGGAGTTACATAAAGATACAGGATATTTGACATTTTGCAGCACTCCCGGTCAGTTTGTTGGATTCAGCGGTATCAGGAGTGTCGTGGTCGAGTGGTTTAAGGCGCTTGACTTGGAGATGCGAAGGTCGGGGGTTCGACTCCCGACACGGCACTAATATCCTTTGGCAAGATATTAACCTGCACTTGCTACTCTCCACCCAGGTGTTAAATGGGTACCCGGTAGGATGCGACCGTCATTGTTGGTCAAACAGTTTTTGAGCGTCATGTAACGCCTGGCTGGAATGCTCCCCAGGGAGTGGAGATTGTGCACACATTGTGTGCGGGTAAGCACTGAATCCAATGACCGGGGTAATAATATCTTTGTAAAGCGCTTGGAGACATTTGTATTAAGCGCTATATAAATTAAATTTATTATTATTATTATTATCATAATTTTTAAATATTTATCGTAATATTTTTTTCCAGTTACCTGCTCTGTTGGAAATTTCGCCTACATTGTGCCCAATACCACTGCTGTCCTGTGTATACCCTGCCTGCTACATACATACCAAGATCAAGAAGGACAAGCAGAATGCACTCCATGTCCTGCAGGCTTAATAACAAATGATCCTGGAGCTGATGATATCAGTTACTGCATAGGTAAGTACCCTGCCTGCTTCATTGTCCTAAAATGATCTCATGCAGCATATTTCAAAGCCTACGCTTAGGCTAGGCCTCATGCTTAAGTCCAAGATCACTCATGTAGATGACGCAGATTTGATCAACTGAGAATTTCGCAGTAATCAGATCTCTGATCATTTTGCCATTTGTGCTTCCCCGCGAGTAAATCACTAAGAATAATTAGATAGTAGGTTGCACAACATGGGGTGACAGAGCCTTCTACTTCTCTGGACCTAAGCTATGGAATAACCTTCCAACAATCTATCAGGAGTATTTCAACGTTCATGTCATCCCTCAAGACTTTCCTGTTCCCAGCTACAACATCATCTCAAGAATATAATACCATTGACAACAAAAACTATTGGAAAATAACCTTAATTCAAAACATTGAATTTGTGAGTCGTTAGAGAGCAAGTGCCATGAGCACCCATCAGAGACGGACATTATTCCATCATTCTATTATTTGCCAATAGAAACAGTTGTGATGCCATCAATAAAGCATCATTGGACAGAAGTTTGCAAAGCTATAGATCATCCTATTTCAATTGTTATAATAATAATGATAAAAGAGGGATCTTGTATAGCACTCATGTCTGTCAGACTTGACACTCCTGGCCCTCCACAATTATTAACAAGGTGTTAGCATGGCTGCCAATATGGTACTGTAGCATTTCAGGAAATTAATTCCTGCCAGGTATCCATTTACCTCATCTGAGTCAAGTGTGGCAAAATTAGATTAATATCTTGCCAAAGGACATTAGTGCTGCAGCGAGACTGGGAACTGCAGACCATGTGAGACTCGGAATCGCGGACCATGTGAGACACGTTCCAGTGACATATCCACTCGACCACAACACCTCTACCTGTACCTGTACAGTTTCATGCTAAGATCAAAGAGCGACTGATGCTCAGACGTCTTGTCGAGTACATCAAGGATACTGAACATGCAGATTCATAACAGTCAGCGTACAAACACTGTCACAGTTCTGAAAAAAGCACTACTCTAGATTCAGACAGATGCAGTGATTGCTTGCCTGAATAAGGGAATGACTCCGAAGTAAAATCCTGCTATATACATTCATATAAGCAGGCTTTACCGTTTAACTTCTCACCAAAGTTAACAATTGACCAAAAAAAGGTCAGCATACATACATGTATAAGTTAAGGCTTTCTCAATAAGCTATAATTAGTAACAGGCATGTAAATGTACATAACTATGTGCATGTAAGTGTAAACTTGAGTCCGAATCATTCTGGATCATTCTGTAAGTCACCTTAATTAATGCATGCTATTTCCTTAAAGATTTTTAATCTGATTGTAATCACTTCCTTCCTTTCTTATTTTCTTAATATACAGAACCATGTCCACTTGGTCATTACCAAGATGTTTGGTCAGATCCTAGTAACACTACATGTATTCAGTGCCCTCTCGATACTTACCAAAACGAAACTGGACAAGAAAGCTGTTTCCCTTGTCCCACTGGATACATAACTCTGGAACCAGGTGCAACAAATGCTTCTGACTGTGTTGGTGAGTCTCTCTGACCTTTATTCTGTTGTCCCCATTCCCGCCTAATTAACCTTGTTCTTTTTTCTGTTGTCTTTTATGAAAAGTTAGCCCACTGAATATTCATCCTCTCTACCTGGATTTGTCACTTTCACACTGATTACTATTAGTATTTTGTAATGGAATGGGTTTGCTTTAATAAAAAATAATTAGAGACTTCGGTGGTAAGCGCTTTATAAGTAACGTTTTTATTATTATTATTATTATCAATAATGCATCACATGCAATTTTTGGGACATGTGATGACATTTTCATTGGTTTTTCATTGAAGAAAGAGTACAAAAAGTATGATTTAAACCCAATATTTTGTGTATATTGTTTTGCCTGGGTAATGGAAGCATGAATTATTAATGTAAGCATCTATTTCCAGTGTTGAGAACCAAGAACCAACAGATAATGGTGTATCATTGCAAGGGGAAACGAACAGGCTAATGATTGATAAGTGAGTGCCAATGCCCATTGTAAGCCTACATATATGTTCAAATTACGTTGAAAACATAATGAAAAATCTGTTGTCATCAAATGCTATTAGAGAGGTACATTTATGTATTTTACATTTCATGTATCTTTTTAGCGGTGTGTAATGCAGGGCATTACGTGGATCTGTCAAACAAGACCAATCCACAATGCCCACCGTGTCTACTCAACACATTCTTAGATCTTGATGTGCACCAAGAACAAGAATGTATTCCATGTGCTCCAGGAATGATTACCATCCAGAATGGATCTTCACAAAGTACTGACTGTCTTGGTAAGGAGACAAAAAATATATTCAATCATAGATTTTTGACATTATGTATGGGATTATTATTTTGATGCTGAGTTGATAATCAGGGCTTGGGTGTATACAGTGTGAGTCAAAAAAAAAGTTTACACCTAGAAAATTGCTAATTATTTTAACAATCATCTATGAACAGTAAAGTATTATACATCTTATGAAAGAGTGTTTTATCCTGAATCATTTAGTATCACTTTTGTGTGGAATGTGTTCACACTTGACTGGATATTAGGTGGCGATGGGGATTATCTGCATTCTAGCATTGTTGGGTCATCCACAGATCATTCCAGTAAGACGACGGTGGCTCCCTACATGCCTCGTTGATGATTGCCAGGAAAATAATAGGTCCAAGTATAGTCCCTTGTGGAGCCCCTGCAGAAACTTTCAGCGAATCAGAGAGCGTTGTTTGATATTTCATCCTCTGTTGTCGTTTGGTGAGAAAGTTCGCTATCTATGCTACAGCACCAGGACAGACGTTCATCTGGAGCAGTTTGAGGACAGCTATACTGTGGTCTATCCTATCTAACGCTTTACTGAAGTTTGTTGTCACCATTGTAGTAATGATTTTAGGCTGGTCAGCATTGCTGTGAATCATTTGTATGAGATCAATCAAGTAGTGAGAGGTGGATATAGCCCTCATGTTCCCGAATTGTGCTGGGTCTATGGTGCTCTCCATGTTGCTGAAAGTCCATTTAGCAATGAATATTTCGGCTATCTTGGCAAAATGATCAGTCAAAGATACTGGTCTGAGGTTATTGATTGATGCTTGAGATGTCTTAGGAATAGGAACAACATGCACTCTCTTCCACCACTCTGGTACAAGGGACTGACTAAAAGATGCGTTTAGAATATCAGTAACGGGCAGCAAAGCTTCTTGACAAGTCTGGCGGACCACATTTTCATGAGGGATTTTAAAGATGTCAGTGGCTTTGTACCAATCAGGTCGCAGATAATCTTGAAAGTTACCCGTGAACAACTTGTAAACTAATGTATATTCATTTGTCATGTAATTGATTTATTTGTGCAGTGTCATGCATGCCAGGGAGCTATCTGGAAAGTTCATCATGTACTCCATGTCCTCTAAACACCTATCAAGACCAGACCAATCATCGTGAGGAATCCTGCATCCTATGTCCTAGCAACCTGATTACTCTTAATGAAAGTTCAGACAGTCTTGCAAACTGTACAGGTATATACAAGCAGTCTTTAAAGATTTTCTTTCAATAATTTATGACTGGTAAAACATACACCCGAAGTCCTAACCATGGCATCAAATCGATGACTAACAATGAATATTGTGCTGTCTCAAAAGAAATTGTAGATTAAAAAAGAAATTCACAGTACTATGCATTTTTATCTCAAGCCGTACATATTTTGCCTCATTTTAAGTTGTACAAGGTAGGTGCACACACAGTTTAGCCATTGTTTGTGTTCATTCTAGTTTATTATGATTATAGTAAACTGAATTGTCTTCTTATTGAGGAAGTTTGGAGATGCTCCAAGCCCCACAACAGACAAAATGCACTACATAGAATCGATTGGAGATGAGTACTTTAATTGGTACATGTACCTCTGCTGATATTGTACATTAACTATGCAAAGGGATAATACTGTTGTTTTGTCATGTTTCAATAGAACGCTAATGCTGCTTATGATGTTGCTATATAAAAATGTATACATTCTTATACTTTCTATGTCAATTTTCCTTTTTTTTTTCCCCTTCTTTCCTGGTTCTTTCTTATCACATCTTTTTCTTCATTGTCTTCTGTTGCACTTTTATGTCAATATAAGAAAGTGTTAACTTATTTGATAGTGGGAATTCATAATCGTCTTGTTCAATACCTTTATCATTCCGTGATATTCTCTCTTTCTTCTTACAACTGTCCCTACTTCTCTGTTCTTTACTTCACATAAGCTCTCTTTCCCTTTCTCTAGATATCCTTCCCCTTCTTCTGGTTCGTTTCCTTCTTCCTCTATCAGCTTCTTTCTCATTTTACTCTTTCTTAGTGCTCATTCTATGGGTAATTTTACTTAAATGTCTAAGATGTCAACGCCTATGTACATTTTTCACTAATATTTGGTTATTACCGTTTTTGTTGTTCATATATGTATTTGTATTGCTTGCCAACAAAATCCCATGTAACATTTCCATATATTAAACAAATAAACTAAATTGAATTGATTGAGAGTATAAACATGATAAAGGGATTACAGGTAGTTCTTTATGGTTATTTATATGTAGTTGTACTAAGTTCCAAGAACATATTGTACAATATGATACATGTATACATGTAGATGTTATATACCAGTATTCATAAATGTGGCATTAAAGATGAAGTTGAGTTCTAGTCATGCGATTGCATTGTGAAAGAAACGGTGGGGAACCGACCAGAAAAGGTTGATCATCTAGCATTTGTGTGTATTGCAAGGTTCTGGAATCATCAAAATGATAAGAAATTTGGCCAAATCTTGGTAAAGTTACAAACACTTGCACAGAAAGATGTATATGGGACTTTTACGATGTTACATGCATATTTAGAATATGAAGGCATTTGAAGAGCCATGCTTTTCAGGGAACATGTCTTAACTGATGTTCTTCCACACTTGCATAATAAGAATGAGTAATGCTCACAAATTATTTTTCACCTCTTCCCAGAACTCAACCTTCTCTTTAACATGATTGTTGCAACAATTCATTGAAGACAAGTACATATACTATTCAATACTTTTGATGAATCTATAAATGCTATATATTTTCTTTTTTTACTTTCAGATCCACAGGAACGAGGTAGTCCATTTATTACAGGCCGGAACAACTTAGTCACAATTGTTGTGATTGTTGTTGTTGTCATCTTAGTCCTCTTGGTCATTTCTCTTGCAGTTGCTTCTTACTACAAAAAGAAAAATAATAGGTACATGTGATGTTTAATGTATTTTGAAGGAAATTTGAAATGTTAATGATTCAGAAAATTCCATACCATTACCTTGTAGGATGTAAAAGTTCATGTGGTTGGACGAGCAAGTGTGCGCTTGTAAAATGGCAACTGGCTGGAATGCTCCCCAGGGAGTGGAAAATGTGCACACATTGTGTGCGGGTAAGCCTGAATCCAATGACAGGGGTAATACTATATCTGTAAAGCGCTTAGGCACATCGTTATATCAATGTATTTAGCGGAATATTATTATTATTGTGTCTTTCTCAAATTTGTTATGTTACATGTGTTTAATAGAAATGCCCAATTACTTTTGTTTTTGTAATAGATTAGTGATACATTACATCATCTGAGCAGCAGCGAACCATTTTGATTGGTCTATTTGGGGCTCTCCTTGCAGGGGCTGCTGGTGTGACCAGCTTTCAACAATTATATGTTTATACCTGTGAACCGGCAATTGTATGCAATTACACAATATATACCAAAACAGGTCTGAGGAAATACATGTGTTATTATGGAGACAAGACCCTTCACATGTATATACATTTGCAGTACTTTTTAATGGCATGTGCACATAGTAGCATAAAGCTTTCGTAGTCTATTACTCAGAATTTATGAATGTCTTTTAAAATCTACACTGTTTAAAATGATCGATTAAGTACATGTAATTAATTTTGAATGATTCTATTTTCAGATACACCAAAAGGTCTTCGTCTATTACCCCTACACCACATCTTCCCATGTATGAAATTGAAGATTCTAGGGAGAGTTCCAACCCCCATGTAGGCATTGGTCAGGACAATGTATATACTGAACAACATGGCTTCATGTCTAGCTCTTGTGATCAAGTTGATAACGAATCAGCGCCCTACTGTCAGACCCCAGTTGAGAATTTCAGAACAAACTTTGAGGTTGACGAATAAACAATTAATGTCATCATGATAGTCAGAATTTTCAACAATTATGTGAAACAATATATCTATTGATCACAAAACTTAGGTAACTAAGCAAACTGTGGCACCAAAATATGCGTCCAGAGAGCAAAAGACATACTAGTTAGTGATGTTTGTTAATTCTATTTTTTTTAAATATCTGATTGTATACAGTATAGCCACATCCAGATGGTTTCTGCAGTTACCAGCTGCATATTCTTAAAATGGGGTCCTACGTCTGTGTGAAAAAACTACGATTTCCAACAGTTATGCATTTTGTGCTCTGGATGCATCTTTTCATGCCACTACATTTGGCTAACCTACCATAGATAACTCGAACATAAAGTTACCATAAAAATTCAACACACATACATATGTATGCATCTACTGCTGTATGTATGTGTATAGTGGGATGCTATTACAATTGTATTGGCGTGTGTGCTTGTGTGAGTGTGTGTGTGAGAGAGAGAGAGAGTCATTGTGTTTATTAAGGAATATTTTGTAACAAATCTACAACATTTATATAGCTTACAGATATGAGATGGCCACAATGATTTTGACTTCACAAACAAGAATATATGAGATATTTTTGTGAGGCCTAGAGTCACGACAGTCTTATTAGGGAACTAAGAGAATTTCAATACAAATTACTTTGTGGGGCGATGTACACAAAGGAGTATTTATTTAAGATTGGTTTTGTTGGTGATGACAAGTGTTCTCTCTGTGAACAAAGTGCAGAAATATATTCGCATTTGTTTTGGAACTGTGACATCCAAATATAAGTAGATTCCTGTTGATGTGCAGGGCTGCATACAAATCATATTTTGTACAATCGAGCATACAATACCAACATAGGAGTTGCTATGTCAGACGAGCTGTATCATGACCAGGAAAAGAAAGTTAATGTGAAGGGATTGTATGAAAGAATGCAATTCTTTTGTGAGCATGGATGTGCTGAGCTGGGAGAAATTACATACAACTGTCTCTTGTGAGCCCACTAATGATTGACAGATGATGTCACAAGATTAATCAGATCTAGAGCATTTTTTTAGGGTGGAGCTTAGCAGGTCTGAGAAAATTATTTTTAGAAATATCAAAAAATGAATGAAATATATTTAGATGTTTGAATAACAAAATATCAGTTGTATGAAGCCCTGCACATCAACAGGAATCAACTTATATTTGGATGTCACCCGACCTTTATGTACAGTTTTGATGTCATGATACTATCAAGATGTAAGAATTAGTGGAACTTAGAAATGCAGATTGGTAGGATATCCATGTCGGAATTTTAGGAAACTCCCAAATAGTTAGATGCTTTAAGACCAGTTATTTTCTTGATTAAAAAAATGATTTATCGGGCTAGAGCAAACTTAATAATACCTCTGCCAGTTGAAGTACATAATATATAGGGATGAAAAAAAGGAGATAGCAACACAAGGTCTTAAACTAAGTTTACATTTGCAGAAGTGGGCAGAAGTGGTAGAAATATTAAAACTGACTGGAGTTTTTTTCTTCCAGTGAGCAGGATGTGCGTGTGTTTATATTTAATGTTTTCTTTAATTTCATGTTATATTGTTCCATTCCTTGATTATTTGTTTATTATTAGTATCCCTATGTTTCCATTCACCGTTATAGAATGGATTGTTTGTTTTGTTTTTTCTCTATGGAATTGTTTAATGAGATATAAACAAACTGTATTAAGAACAAAACAGAAATATACTTAGGGTGTTTTTTTTTCTGGGGGTGGGGGGGGGGGAGGTATTTTATGTTATATTGTTTCCATTCTGTCATTATTTGTCATATCATTGAAACGTATGAGCTTGTTTTTTATATTTTCTATAAAATGTAATTTAGTTTCCTATGAATATGTTGAAAGGAAGGCAATGAATAATATTCACACACAAAAAGGGGCTGTTATATCAAATCTTTGTTAGTACATGTATTACTGGTAGTGCCAGTAATTTTTGTATATTATTTGTAGTAGTAGTTTTGGTAGTAGAAATATATTGATTATCATTATAAATATCATTATTATTATTATTATTATCGTCACTACTGCTATAATTATTTTTGTTTTTAGTAGTAGTATTACTATATTCATTTGTTTTATTATTATTATTATCATCACTACTACTATAATTATTATTATTATTTTTTTTTAAAATTATTTTCAATAATTCTGTCATGGAGGCTAATCGTATAAAATTGTTTGATGAATTTTAGTAAAACGATTAGGTTCTAGCAAAGAGGAATAATTGCTATGTGGAATAGTTTCAATTTGAATTTCTTGCATCTTTGTATATGAATAGTATTCCTGTGTTCATCTTGATCAGGTTGATATCGTTATATTTCCTATTTCTACAAGTTAACAATGCTGTATTGTTATAGTGGGATGAAGTTCGGTTTGTTTGGCCGTTTGTGTTTGTGTGGGCGTGGGTGTAGGTATATGAGAGAGACAGTGATTGTCTTTTGTAATGGGTTGTAATATCATTTCCTTGATTTTATGATTATGAATTATGTATAAAATACTTCTTGAATGTTATACTGTTATAATGTTAGGTAGTGGTATATTATGTACACAGAGATATACACTTTGCTGTTAATACTGATGAGTGCTTTTTAAAGTCATTAATCATCAAACTAGGCCTACATGTATTTTGCGACTGCTGTCTTTTGAAGTGCATATGGTGGAAGGGCTGTGATTGCAGTTTTGTGATATTTACATAATGATAATTTTCCCTGTATTCACTCTTATCCCACAAGACAAAGAGACAATTTCCATCTCCCCCCAATCCCAACATTTTTTGCCCAATATTTTGTTCTTCTTTTGTGCCCCCCTCCCCCTCCTCCCTCCCCCCCCCCCCAAAAAAAAAATCATGCTGACCAATATTACGCTCATTGAGGGGGGGGGGGGGTGGGGGTTTAAGGAACATTATTTTATTTTTTTACTCAGTACCCCCCCCCCCCCCCCCCAAAAAAAAAAAAAAAAAAAAAAAAAAAAAAAAAAAAAAACAACAACACCGCCCTTGCGTACGCCTCTGTATATACTACATGTTCACGTTGATTTTTTTGTTGTTATATTGCTATTACTACTGTGTGTGTATGTGTAAGAGAGAGTTTAATGTTTTTTCATATTATTTAAAGTTGTAATATTTGTAGAAGTAGTTGTCGAAAAGAACTACTATTATAATTATTATTACTGCTATTATTTTTATTGTAATTATAACTACAATTATTATAATTTGTTTTATTAGTAGTAGTACTATTGGTGTTATGCATATCATTTTTAATTATTTTGATACTATAATTATTATTATTATTATATTCGTTATTATTATTATTTTCGTCATTATTCTCTCAACAAGGCTAATTTCTTTACAATTGTTAAATTACTCTTAGAAAAACGATTGGGTACTAGCAAAAAGGGATAGTTGTAAACAGTTTTGAAGCTCCAGCATATAGCAATTATCAGAATGGCATAATCAAAAGAAAACCTTACAACAAGCAACTAAAGGTAAAGAGACCAGTTTTGTTGTTGTCATCTTTCGAATTGTCCTTCAGGTTACATAATGTCACATTTACATCTACAATGTAAAGAAGATACAGTACATTTCATCTTTTGAGAAATTAGTATGACTTTTTGAATATCATGAGAAGAAATGAGAAAGGCACTAAAGAGTGTGTTTTTTTATTTTCCAACTTGTTGTTTTGTTAGAATTAAATCGTTTGCCGTGTGCTGTGTTCAGTTATATATTTTTGTATTTGTTGTATTTTTATTGGTGTTTCAGAATGAGGGAAGAAAATTGAATACATACAGTATGTCTATGAAGTGCATGACAGTTACTTTTGTGATGTCCTGTTTTTACATGAAGCTTATCATCAGGGAACCCTTCTCAACGGTAACTGGGGATAGCAAAACAAAAGTTTACATGATGATAGTTGACAAAGGTTGTAATTATTCATACCCTCAACTAAACAGCGTCAATTCAGAAAGAGAAGGGCCTGAAGTCTAATGTTTTCTTTCGACTAAAGGCTCTCTCTCATTCTCAACTGACGAGAACATATTAAAGTGGTGGAAAGAATAATTCCATGATCTCTCTTTTGGCATGGGATTCAGATCTAGCGGCATTGCCTTTCTGTCCCCCATCCCCCTTTTTTCCTTATATTTCACTAGCGTTCAAAGACCGCAATTCAAGTGACGCGTTCAATTTTTACATTTTCTTTTGGAAATCAAAAAATTATGAAAGAATGATCAATGCCCTATGTATATGTATAAGCGAGACTTACTTGCTCATAAACAATTTTATAACTGTCAGCTTTAATGATGAATTTAATTAATATTGTTTTATGTCAATATTGCAGCTAATTTCAGAAACTTCTTTAAGTTTTTGTATTTGTTTTACTTGCTTCCATATGTTTTTCTGATCACAATTTTTTTAGACAGAATAAGGGGGTAAAATCATCAGCTCACTGTTTTTATTTCTTCCTATTTCAAAATATCTTTAAATTCCACTTCCCTGTCCGTTATTAATATTAGCAGTTGTATTTACTTATTGTTTGTAATCGATATCTTTATCTTTTTTTTTGGGGGGGGGGGGTAAGACCTATTTGGCCATTTGATTAGTTCTCAAAACTCAATTTCACATCTTTGCTTCTGTCTCTCTCTTGTCTCTCTGATTTCATCCCATCTTTCTCGTTTGTCCACTCACATTTTATTACAACTACCGGTATCCATATACATGCATGTCATATGCATGGTTTGTTCTATAAAAGAACATGAAAACTATGCACTACATGGCACGATTAATCTCCTCAAAAATATGTAAATTAAAAAAGAATCATTTCCATTATTAAAGAAGACAAGACATCTCTTTTTCTCTCTACACTTTAGTTGCATTCACTGACACATAAAATACATGTCGTTTAATTCAAGTATGGAAAAAACGATATATCAAGAATTAAAGTGATAAACATTGTTAGTGTGGGACATGTATATCAACCCATAGCAGTTCAGAGTTCCTTCTTTCTTTCTTAATTTAATAATTTTTCCCTTCTCAAAAGTTGGCAGCGATTAATCAAATTTTCCTACATAATTTCAAAAAACTAAAATGTTTATTGCAAAAACCAATGTTAATAAAATTAAAATTTAATCAAAAGTTGGCCAATTTGTACACAAAAATAGAGATGTTATACTCATAACTGCGTTGCCAATTTAAAGAATTCAGTGATTAGTTACAATTGAATCACTCTCATTCGAGAACGGCACAACGTATTGCATTAGAAATAAACTCAGAATTTCTTTGGTTTTGTTTTTGCTCACCTGCTCATGTTTAATATGGAATTCTTAGCATTCTCATCAAAAGATAATGAAAAAAGGCACTTAAAGGAAACACTACTGCTATGAGTTAAGAACTACTTTTGATCTTCTTTTCTGCCCCAAAGTAGATATAGATTGCCTTAGCGAAAAATTGTCAATTTGCAAAGTTTTATGTATAGTACTGCAACAGCTAGCTAGGTAATATAAGCAAAAGGTTACTGGTTCCACTTACTTCATTAATTTTCATAGAAACGCTGAAAATATAAACATTAGTTTAAGCAGAAAACTACTGAGTTACATATATAATTTGTAAGATATAATGTACCGCGTATCCCAATATAAGACGATTCTGGGTATATTGTTTGAATATTATCAGGTCATGCTCTATTTTCATAAACGCTAAACTTATAACTTTCATCTTTTTTTGTGGTAATTAGTGCCATTACTTAATTTCTACAAAAATAAGATAGGTGTACAAAAGTTTATATAAAGTTACATGTACTCACAATGTTGAAATAATGACTAACAAATCTTTGAAATAAATCAAATGACTAATATGATCAATACTGTACATTGTATATCAAAATAAAACGAATTCAAACTTAGAGCATTAATATTCAAACGTTATTTACTTTGACAAATACATGTACCTGTAGCTCTTAAATAAAGAGGAACTCCTCACGTTTGGATTGATACTTTTCTTGCACCACTGATAGAGTGTATGTAATAACTTCATTCTGCTTTCTATTAATCAAAAACTTGCAACAGATAACATAATAGCTGTCATCTTCAGCAAGCATGAAGCATGTACTCGGCCAGGCACAGCATTAGTGATGCAAGATTTGTTTTGATGGGAAAGTGAGATGTTCCTCTTTATCCAAAACGTTGGAATAGTAGCCCTCTGACTTTAAATAGCCCTTATTTATATAAAATTCTAGAATACATACGTATAAAGTAGTGCAATTTGATCTGAATATAGAGAAAAACAAATATAATTTTTAAAATTCTTGAATACATATATATATAAAGTAGTGCAATTTGATCTGAATATAGAGAAAAACAAATACAATTTTTAAAATTCTTGAATACATATATATAAAGTAGTGCAATTTGATCTCAATATAGAGAAAAACAAATACAATTTTTAAATTCTTGAATACATATATATAAAGTAGTGCAATTTGATCTGAATATAGAAATAAACAAATACAATTTTTAAAATTCTTGAATACATATATATAAAGTAGTGCAATTTGATCTGAATATAGAGAAAAACAAATACAAATTGTCAATATTCGAGATAATTCTTATACAGTGAGTATTAAACAATGTAAACAAAGTAGCTAATTATTAAAAGTCATAATCAATACGACCTTGACATCTGTTTCATTGTAAAGAATTACTTGTTTTCTGTCTAACAATACACTATGATACATTTTCTTCCACAGATGACTGCATGAGCACCAGAGTGTTTAAAAAGTTTCTTCAAAATCTCCTTGTACCAACTGGTATGTGCTGATGTATCTAATGTCAGTGAGCCTTATACATGTGTAAATCTGGTTTTTAAATCCTTTTAAAATGAAAATACCTGATTTATGCTTCAGTGGTCCATTGTTTAAGGAGTATCTAAACTTGAATAGGACCTTGTCTGAAGTTGTCTCAATCCACGGGACAGGCGCGTACGCAGGATTTTTTCAAGGGGGGGGGTTTAAACATTAATAAATCGGCCGAAAATTTCGCAACGACTCAGCCAGCCGCTGAATAAGCGCTGGGGGCGGGGGGGGGGGGGGGGGGGGGGGGGGGGGGGGGGGGGGTTGGGAGGGGGTAAGAGGACACTTTTTTTTTTGGTTCCGAAAAAATCGCAACGACTCAACCGGCCACTGAATAAGCGGGGGGGGGGGGGGGGTAAGACTCAGCCAGCCGCTGAATAAGCGCCGGGGGGGGGGGGGGGGGGAGGGGGTAAGAGGACACTTTTTTTTTTTGGTTCCGAAAAAATCGCAACGACTCAACCGGCCACTGAATAAGCGGGGGGGGGGGGGGGGGGGGGGGGTAAGAGGTAATTTTTTTTTTGGGGGGGGGGGGGGTCTCGAAATTTGAACATTTGACATTTTGCTCTGTTGGGGGGGGGGGGGTAAGGTCACCTTTTTTAGGTCAGCCATAGGGATAAAAAATTTTTTTTTCAATAATTAAGATTTAATAAATGCAAGAAAAAAACTCATGTCGATAACTACCAAAGATAATGACAATAAACTTTTATATAAAAAAATATAGCACTCCAAGTATAAAGCTATACTATCCATGTTGTATGACATGTGACTCGATGACAAGGGATGCTAGAGAGCCAAGATTTTATCACCATAACAAAGAGAATATCATAAAGTTTGGTTTTAAAAGGGCCCTTTGTTTAGTCTGAGTTGACAGTGCAATCTTTTATATTAAAACTATGGATTTTCCGACTGAAATAGCAGTTCTCAAGGGCTCCTGACCCACATACATTGCTTCAGACAAACTTCGTAAAAGAGGATTGTGATAATACATTTTGGAAAGGCAGTTACTCGGTCATCCATTTCAGATGAGTTATGAATAAGGTATCATTATGTAGAATATTAGTTGCTTATTTGAAGGCCACAAAGGACATCACTTTCAAATGGGAATCAACAAAAGTTTGGTATACATTTATTTTATACAAATTGTTTATTAAACTGTAATATAGTAATATAGCGATCAAAAACTGTTTATCTTCAACTTTTCATAATGAACACTTACACTAGTGAAATTAATGAGTTTAGCATATAAATCATTGATCCTAGATGCGTGTACAAAAAACCACTAGTAACAATCAAGTTTCTGCCCTCATTACTATGTTTACTCTTCTTGAAACATCAAACTGGAAGATATTTCTTAAAACTTTGTTGTGTCTCACAAGGAAACTAATAAGATGCTCCATAAGAACATTGACATGACATCACTAAAGGAAGTCTGCTTTATTTTCAGTTAGTAAGCACTACATTTTTTTAATGTTTTTTTTGTTTGTTTTTTTGTTCTTAAGTCCTTGTCTGTCTATCAATGTCATTGTGACAACCGATGTCCAGTCAAAATCCATCAGTGTTATGTCAAATTTAACTGTAAGTTGTATGTTACAAAAATTGTTCATGTCATCTGTTGAAATAGCGGTTTGAAGTTGATAATGTGGTAACATAACCTATATGTTACCATGGTTACCTGCATGTTCTTGCAAAGGTCAGGCAATAAGTCCAAGAACCATGGCTTTGAACGGCTCTATTTACAAACGACTTTAAGTGTAATCATAACGCTTTCACTGGAAGTTCTTCTCTACAACGTTTAATCAATGATAATAGTTTTCTTGTGTGTATGCCTTTGTTTTGAGAAGCCCGTCAAATTGAAGTTACTACCTACATTTACCTTTCATCAGGCAACTCAAGAAAAAAATCTTATCAGACAACTGAGTTTTTACATATTATTCATATGCATTATTATCATGATGACTTTCGGCATGATCAGTTGCTGACTGTTTCGAAGCATCTCCCATCTCCTTCATCCGATGCTGTGATGTCTGATTGAAAATAATATCATTCTTTGCACATCTAAATAAATGCAATAGTACAAATACACTGAAGATTAGAATCTTAAAAAAATATTTGGAAAGTTATTCCATCAAAACCGGTTTTGACATAGACCCAAAATTAAACCTGAAGTAAAAAAAAATCCCATTGCGTATTTCGTAGTTGTACTTATCTTTGGGCTTTAGGTGACAATTCTGGATTTGGAAGGTAGGAATATATGGCCCTTGATGTTTTCCCTTGAGCAATTGACCATGACAAATAATAGTTTTCTTCTATTTGCCATATGCTACAAACTGGGGGGGGGGGGGGGGTTGAGGGAAGGGGGATATTTATCTATGCTGGCCCCCTATTCAGTCAGCAGGTCAGCATGACAAGCTTTATCTGAAATGAGGTATGGGTTTGGGTATGTATATTTAATATTTTCTGTTGTAATATATTAAGTTTGTTTAATTACTTCCTTTTTTCAAAATATAGACACATTTTCCTTAATGGTGATTTTTAATGGTGATTATTAAGAGAAACAATAACAGCATTAACATTAATGGATTAATAGAAGGGACTGTTACGAGGAGCAGAAGCAGCAGCTGTTGAACCAAAAGGTCGCCCTCTGGTGTTCTGGCAGTAGTAGAAGTTGTCCGAGGACTTGCTGGCAAACTCTGCTGGGTCGTTGCGCACCACTGCCCCACATGATGGCGCCGATGATGGGGCATAACGTCGCCCTCCGTAACCCCAATTCTCTGCTCCCTCCAAGAACTCTTGCTTGCATTGTTGTCGACGACGAGCAGCAAAGAGGATGAACCAGCAGAAGCAAAGAACAACAACAAGGAAAACACAACCAGCGACTCCCAAAACGATACCGATAATGATCCCTGTTGAGAGACCAGGAGTTGATTCTAGCTGGCATCTGATTCCTTCATATCCATCCAAGCAGCTATGAAGAAAAAAAACATTAAAAGAAAATTTCATATGCACTATTTTAATATTTGGCTAGTTTGGAACTTTAATCATGAACTGAGCAGTCAAGAACATCAAACAGGGTTCCAAAATATTTTCTGAGAATGAGGCATAGTAGTCAGGTGGCTTAGTGAAATTATCATTACTTGCCGGATAAAAGCACCTTTTTTGGTACAGGACTTCCTTAGGAACTACTAAACGATATTAGGCGGCTAGGAGCCCCCGGCAAAAAAAGTCAATTTAAGGGAGTGGGGGCGGGAGCGTCTTTTGGAGTCCCCAAATAATTTTATAACATTGATTTGTTGTTGTACAAATGCCATTGTTGGTACGGGGCTTCCTTAGGACCTACTGAATGATATTAGGGTAGGAGCCCCCTGCAAGAATATCATATAAGGTTGTGGGGCGGGGGCGTTGCCTCGTAGCCCCCCAAATAACTCAGAAGGTAATATAACATTGATTTGTTGTTGTACAAATGCCATTTTTGACACAGGGCTTCCTCAGGACCTACAGAACAATATGGGGTAGGAGCCCCCGGCAAAAATATCATATAAGGGTGTACGGGCGTCGCCTCGTAGCCCCCAAATAATTTATAAGGTAATATAATAATAATAATAATAATAATACATAAGATTTGTATGACGCCAAATCCACTTGACAATCAAATGCTCAAGGCGCAGCTTGCGCAAAATATGAAATACATGATAAATATACCGGTATACAAAAGTGCAATAGGAAAGGTACAGATATGAAAGGTAATGGTAATCAATTATAAGCCAAATTATTTCTTAAGATTGTTTTTTAACACTTCACCAGTATTGCTAGCTTTAATCCATTGAGTGAGAGTATTCCATAATGAAGGCCCAGCATGAGCGAAGGTTCGCCCCCCCCCCCCCACTTTGTTTTAACCCTAGGAATAATTAGTAAGCCAGAGTTTTGAGAGCGTAGCTGTCTAGAGGGAATGTAATGCTTGATCAAGCCGATGTTGTACTGCGGAGCATAGCCATGTATACAGTGAAATAATAACAAAATAATCTTGAAAACAACACGTTCTCCTAGGGCAAGCAAATTAATGGAGTGATTTGAGGACTGGTGTGATGTGACTGTACTTGTTAGAAAGGGTCACGACAGGAGCAGCAGCATTCTGTAATTTTTGTAATTTTGCAAGTAGGTTGTGAGGTGAACCAAACAAAAGGCCATTACCAAAATGCAAGCGAGATGAGATTAAAGCATGAGTAATTTTCTCAGTGGCACTACGGTTACCTAAGATATTTACGAATAAAACCTCAATTGCGTAACTGATAACGTACAGATTTTGAGACATATTGAATTTGTGTAGACATTGTCATATTTGAGTCGAAAAACACACCAAGGTTGCAACATACATTGGATAAGGTAATTTCATGTCCAGCAAGAGTAATTGAAGTGATGGAAATTTTCTCTGAGTCTTAGAACCATACATTACAAATTCGCATTTGGCGAGATTTAATTTGAGTGAATGTGAGATACAACTATAGACAATATACAATTATAGACATCTTGTACAAAAGTCTCAATGTTATGGATAGCGGTGGCTGCATTGCTCTGATTGGGTTTGAAAGAAGTATATATTTGAATATCCTCAGCATAAACATGATAAGAGAGAGAATGGTGATGACAAATATTCTTCAAACCGGTTAAAGGGCCACTCTAACCCAACTAACATAGCCTTACAAAACATGAATACACATCTACTTATTAATATTCCAGCCTCTGATTTGTCAGAAAATCTCTAAATTGACCAAAAAATGATGATAGCCATCCATTTCTCACAGTTCTTACGCTTGCCGGGCAACGCCCCTCGAAAAAAGGTGATACGGTCATGTGGGTTGATGACGCATTTGACGTCATTGCGGGCATGTCCGATTTGATAATTTCATAATTAGGAATGACGAAATTGCCAGAAACGTACTGGGATAAACAAGTGCATATTATTTTTCGGATAAATGTCTTGTTTTTCAATTAATATCATAGTTTGCCTTTTTAAAGACATTTTAATGCCTAAATTATCCTCCTTTTCACCGGAGAGGCGCCTTCAGTGACGTCAAATGCGCCATCACCGAAACTGGGCTTTATTTCTGCGCGTTCTGAGTCGTCATTTTTTAAGCTAAATTCCAGAATTATTGATTATTTCTAAGAAAAATAATTGACATGTTCGGAATCTCTGTCAAATATTATTCTACATGTCTTTTTTTCATTTTTAGCCCGTTTTGGTTAGAGTGGCCCTTTAAATATAACGAGAACATGGTGGGCCCGCCCACAGAGCCTTGTGGAACTCTGCATGTAAGTGGTACAAAATCTGAAAGGCAGCAGTTTATCAAGACAGCTATAGAATAGCATGACAGGTATGATTTAAACCATTCCAGGGCTTGACCTTTAACACCAACTGACATGAGGGTATTCACCAGAACAGTGTGGTTAACAGTGTTGAAGGCGGAAGACAAATCAAGGAGTATCATAGCAGTTAAATTTCCACCATCCATCTCCCGGAGTATAAAGTTTACAAGGAGAGTTTTTGTTGTAAAAACGCCAGTTTTGGTACAAGGCTTCATTGGGACCTACTGAATGATGGTAGGGTAGGAGCCTCCGGCATAAGTATTCGTATATGTGTGATTGGGGGACCCATTGCGTTTGTACAACCAAAACTCAATGTTGCATTACCTTATATATTATTTGTGGGCTACGAGGCGACGCCCCCACACCCTTATATGGTCTTCTCGCTGGGGGCTCTTACCCTAATATCGTTCAGTAGGTCCTAAGGAAGCCCTATGCCAAAAATGGCATTTGTACAACAACAAATCAATGTTGTATTACCTTATAAATTTTGGGGCTACGAGGCGATGCCCCCACACCCTTATATGATATTTTTGCCAGGGGCTCCAACCCTTATATCATTCAGTAGGTCCTAAGGAAGACCTGTGCCAAAAATGGCATTTGTACAACAACAAATCAATGTTGTATTACCTTATAAATTATTTGGGGGCTACAAGGCGACGCCCCCACACCCTTATATGATATTTTTGCCGGGGGCTCCTCCCCTTATATCGTTCAGTAGGTCCTAAGGAAGTCCTGTGCCAAAAATGGCATTTGTACAACAACAAATCAATGTTATACTACCTTCTAAATTATTTGGGGACTACGACGAGGCAACGCCCCGTCCCACACCCTTATATGATATTCTTGCAGAGGGCTCCTAGCCTAATTTTGTTTAGTAAGCCCTAAGGAAGCCCTGTACCAAAAATGCTGCTTTTATCCGGCAAGTAACGATAATCAATAAATACGACACTAAGCCACCTGACTATAGATATAAAAATTAGAAAATTAAAAGTGCTGCACCTATTTCTGTGTATGCTGTTTGAGGTCACTAAATCATGTGACTGAACTCAGAGGAGTCACGTCAGTGATCACTTGTTTAGGAATGAATATTAATATCTATTGATTTTCATAATATATTTCATGTTAGACATAACAATTTCCACAATATTTCAATTACTGAAAAAAGGGTCTGTATACAAAATTTATGCAATGCTACAAAAACAAAAAACAACATGTACACCAGTAAATCATTTTTGCATTATATCAACTCACATGCAGGAGGCAACCCCATTGCTGTCAACTTCGCAAGTGCTGTTGTTTTGGCAATCCAACTCCTCACATGAAACTGGGAAAATACAGGAAGAAAAAAAAATAAAAAGTTGTTCCAATACCACTGACTGGCGAGATATATGTACATTTGACGGAGATTACAAGTTGTCGCTTAAGGGTTATCTGGGTTCTTTATCATAGCACATCATTGATATACTCAATTTAGAGGCTGGGTACACCTAGGTGAGATAGAGATGAGACTCTCTTCTACATGTATAATACTGCTTTACACACAGACAAAACTCAAGTATGACAGGAATTTTAAAGCCACTGCAATATGGTTGTATAGAATTTGCAAATACATGTATCCTTGCATGGGAATAGCATAGACAAACAGTTATAGATAGCAAAGAGCCCAGTTGAAAGCAATCCAATTATATGAAATATGTATGTAACAATTACAATAACATGATATTCTTTTGAAGACTTACCTGGAATTTCACAAAACGTTCCTGTGTACTGTGCGGGGCATCTAAATTTGAAACATAATAGAATTTTTAAAAAAGTGAGATTAAATGCACGGCCCCTACAGAAATAATACGCATCTGGATGTTTGCAGTTTTAACCACACAACATGTACTCAATTCTCTTCCTAAGGATCTGGCTAGACATATATTTGTGTTTTCAACAAAACTGGGGGAGTCATGATCGATCTTACTGCAGTAATCTAGCACAAAGTCATACATTACTTATGTTACTTTGCCACTTCCTAACAACATGTAAATAAGAAGTCAACCTACAGTGTACATGAAACATGGCTTCAAATGAAATATCCACCTCCACTTTGGAAGAGTGAAATCTTCATGTCAATTTTTTACAAATTTTCACAAATCGCATACCACACTTAACATGCCAAAACAGTAATGAGAAGCAATGGCTCAGTAGTAGAGTATTGGTCTTGTAACGGGGAGGTCCCAGGTTCAAAACCAAGTCAATGCGCTTGTGCCCTTTGGTAAGGAAGTAATCCTCATTACAAGGACTTAAAGACGTCCGTCCCCTGGAAGTTTACATATAAGCATATAGACATGCTTGCTTTAATAGCAGACATCATCGATCATCAAATATCATGAGAGCAATCTTGCAGCATGAAAATCCATTTTAACCCAAAGCAGTTCAGATTTGTCTAAAGGTCTACATGAATCATCTTTTACTTCTTAAACTGGCAACAATTGTTTGTAGTTTCCACTCTTTCAAATCATAGTTTTACAAAATATAACTAGATGGAACTTTGACTGCACGAAGTCGAAAATGATGCCTCTGCCATAGAGCCATTTTACAAACCGAAACAGAAGCAATCTTTAAAATTCAAGTTTATTTTGTAATCCATTAACAGGTTCCCAGAATATAGTGATTACAAGCTATTTTCAATATATATGTATGACCCTTTGATCTTTGACCTCATAACCCTAAAATCTAATCAGTTCATTGGCTCTGCAATATACATACATGTCCTGAGTTTGATAGTAATCCATCTGTCGGTTCTAGTGATAATGCATCACAAGCTATTTCAGCATACATAATGAGCCCCATGAGCTTTGGCCTTTGACCTCATGACCCCAAAATCTATTTAGTTCATTGCCTCTGCAAGAGACAACTATGTCCTGAGTTTGATGGTAATCTGTCCATCGGGTCTAATGATAATGTGATCAAGAGCTATTTTTGCATACATTATGAGCCCTGTGACCCCAAAATATAATCAGTTCATTGGCTCTGCAAGATACATATATGTCTGGAGTTTGATGGTAATCCGTCAATCGGTTCTGACGATAATGTGATCACGAGCTATTTTTGCATACATTATGAGCCCTAGCTGTGACCTTTTACCTCATGACCCCAAAATATAATCAGTTCATTGGCTCTGCAAGATACATACACGACCCAAGTTTGATGGTAATCCGTCAATCGGTTCTGACGATAATGAGATCACGAGCTATTTTTGCATACATTATGAGCCCTGTGACCTTTGACCTCATGAACCCAAAATATAATCAGTTCATTGGCTCTGCAAGATACATGCATGACCTAATTTAGCAGGAATCCATCAATCGGTTCTTGAGATAACGCGATCACGAGAGCGGGACGTATGGATGGACAACCCGAAAACATAGTAGGGACTTTTAGATTTGCATGACAACAATGGGGACTGCTACGTGTGACGTCCTTTTAAGGCACTGCCAGGACCTTAAAGGACGTTACACGTGACTGCCAGTGCCTTAAAAGGACGTCACACATAGCAGTCCACGCAAATCTAAAAGTCCCTAATGCTAGTCACTTTGTAGCGGAGACATAAACATGTATTTCATATGACAAAGTGTGCATGGAAGTTCCACAAAATCAAATGCAATTGCCAATTTGTACACTAAAATAGTGATCATAAATTGCACTCTGCATTGCTAATTTAGTGACAATTATACATTTTTATTAAATCATTCTTATTCACGAATGGCACAACATACAGCAACAGAAGTAGTCTTAAATTTCCCAGTGAGTTTTGTACTTTCAGCTCATGTACATTTTGTAATTCAGAGCATTCTCGAGTAAAAAATTAATATAAAAAGTCACAATAAGGTGATATTAAACTGCTTTGAGTTAAGTATTGAAGAGGGGGGGGGGGGAAGTATACAGTCATCATCTTATAATTGGGCAAAGTTAGGATAAGATGATTCTCCTTACTCGCAATATGGATCTCCCATCATGTCTACTTGGCATACTCCTCCGTTCTGGCAAGTATGTCTCTCACAGGCAACTAAAATAGAGTATCAAAATATTGATCAGTTCAATCAGTTAACCCTTACTGTACTGGGGGGGGGGGGGGGCTGAGAGGCCCCCCCCCCCTCAACATTTTTGGAGATTGCACCGCAACCGCTTGGAATTTTGAATTGTCGTTTCATGACTTTTTTCCCTCAAGTCTTACGCACATTTTGATACCATTTTTATCAAAATCGGATATAACTGTAAGGTGTTGCAATTTTTTTAATGATTCTAGTTCCCTGTATATATTTCCAGATTTGATATTCATGAATGCGTATTCATAATTTATGTAAATTAACCTATGCATTTTCAAATATCATAAAAATAATGTAACCTCATGAATTTGAGATGAAGGAAACATTTATTCAATACATTTCCAACATATACAGACAAATATGTAGAGTTTTCTGTAAAATGCATAACATTAGCATTTTGCATAATTAATTAGGCTATAACGACAAAAATTTGCATATTAGGAAAAAACTAATTATACCATCTTGTTCCTTACGTAAATATCTACAAACATGCAAATTTTTGTTTTCATCGGACTTTCTACGGCCGAGATCAAAGGGTGGGGGGGGGGGCCTCTCAGCCCCCCCCCCCCCCCCCAGTCACGAGATGCTCAAAATAGCCCAGTACAGTAAGGGTTAATGATAATCACATTGACAAACATAAATAATGCAAAAACAAAAATATTAGATAGATAGATCCATTAAATAAAGGGTCTATTATTTTCTTACAAATTGATGTGTGCCTAGCCTATAATTTGATGAAAACTTTCAAATATAATTCCAACAGTACAACTATGTTGAAATACCAAACCTAAGTAAACCAGTGGAAACTGTTGGAAGTTGGTGATATTTTTTCAATCACATATATCTGCATAATATCAAGTTAGGACAAAATGTGAGAAATATTCTTATCTTTCTCTCTTCAACTACATGGTGTATCTATATTGTATTTTGTTTACTTCAAAAGTATTGCACATATCCAATATCATGTTCACGAGATAGATCTTGAATATCATTCCGAAACTGAATGAAACCAAGGAAACCAACTCACCCTTGTTTTCACAGACTGGTCCACCAAAGCCAGGCGGACAACTAAAGAGAAAAAATAGAAATAATCATAACATTAATCATAAATACATTACCATTAAAAACAGTAGAGAAATCTTGTCACTAAGATTGTCATTTCTGATGTTGCATGAAAATGTTTCTCCTTTAAAACATTTTTTTAAATAACTATGCTGATAAAAGAGAAAGTGACATATCAAATTGATTAACCACACAGATCCTTTTCCTCCGTTATTTTTATCATATTTGCCATTTTCTTGAACTTCTGTACATATTATTAATAGTGCTGCAATAATACAATGACACTGATTTTGCTTGCTCTCCTTCCTTTAGAAAAGAAGTCTATAGTAAATCATTATATTAACCTAGCAAAGAAAGATATCAGTTTCTTTTACATTGCTTACTTCAACCATGCATAAGATGGTGATAATGTTCCAATTATATTTTGGAGAGATGAGGAAGAAGAAATAGAATAGGAAGATAGGATGCTAGATAGAGGAAAAGGGCCACGAGGACAGATTAAACAAAAGAATAAAGAAAATATAACATAATAAGTCTGGTGTCACCAATATATTAGAGGGTGTTTAATAGTAATATGACTTACGAACAAGATGTGGTATCGGTAGTGACATTATACAGGCATGTCCCTCCATTTTCACACGGAGTTGGCTCACACAGGTCTGGAAAGAAATTTTGAAAAAAATATAAAGGAATGTAATTCTTCTAAATCAGTTCTTAATAGTATAAAAAAATAAAGACATTTTCGTTTTTGTTCACGTCTTTGTATCTTATTACACACGTATAACTGCATAAGCATAGGACCATAGCTTTGATTTAATGATTTATCCCAATTGCTGTTCACACAATGCATTCATAAAAGAAACTGGCGGTTTACCGGGCATATATACACAGGGTGTGGTTGATACAGATACTAAGACGACTAAACTGTTAGAGTTTATTGGTTGGTTTCACATTCCCATGCAGATTCAGTACAGATAACAAAATATACATAAAAGATATATTGTTTCATAATTTAAAAGAAATGATTGTAGCAATTGACATCAAACTAGTTTGACAACTATTATCATGTTTAATGAAACCCAGACAAGAAAAGTACAAAACTTCGAAATGTGCAAGAACCTACAGAAAAGCATAGCTTGTAAAGAATAGGTTCCTGGGAGACGTGGAAAAATGATCAGGAAAGAATATGTTTACTTTATAGAGACGTATTCATAATGAAATGTAAGAGGGTAGTAAGAGGGTAGTAATTTGACAAATAATTGTATACAAGTTCAATAAAAATTCGGGACAAATTAATACAGACAGAAAACTACCCAAACTAAGAACTCTCTTAAAGGTACTATGTCCCATTTGCAGGCCAAAAAAATGAAAAGGTTAAATTCCAATGGCATTTGAAAGATGATACTAATTTAGAACTTCTGTCAAAACAAAAGGGTTTGAAAATGTCTTTTTGTGGGAAAATAATGACCATTAGTTGTCAAATCGACATAAGTGATTGCAATCACTTATGTAAATAGTCTGATTTTTAGGCCCTTGTACATATATTATGTTTTGTGCTGCACAAAGACTCAATCAGTTTAATTTTGGCCATTACAAGAAGTTGGTTATTGATGTAGACAAATGCTGCATGTACCTGTTACAGCTCATTTATGTATGTTATTACCAAAGAAAAAAAGAAGTCAATCAGTCCCTCAATAGTGTCTGACAGTGAAGGCTATAAAGTAAACTGGTTTCCTTGCATAACTTGAAAACTAGGACATTGCTAACGTTTAAATTTCACAGATAGGACATTCATGAAATCTTCATGATTCCGGCAATGTTCTACAGAATTTGATGTTGGCTGCAAAAGGGACATAGTATCTTTAAAGCTCAGCCGACTCTGATTATTATTATCAAATAAGTACAAGTACATCCAACCATGCCTATTCCTAGTAAGAAGGAAGGTGTACTTACTCTCATATATAAGTTCTTCCACATAGACTGTATAAGCATTCCCTGTCCAGTCACTTGGAGAACCTTGGAATCCATTATCACTAGCGATCTGGGCCCTCATCATGGCCTCCATCTGGGATGTGCCGTAGATATCGATGATGAAGTCGACGATGATACTTCCTGGGCGGAAGGCTGCGATGTTACATTCGATATAGGTGTATGGCACATTGACATTCATCCATAGATTAAGCTGGTACATGAACTGCAACATAGCAAGCAAATATAAACAAAACAAATTAGGAAGCTCATCCCTGTTTGAATAGAAGATATTATGGAGGTAGTATGGAGGTAGTATACAGTGTGAGTCCAAAAAAAGTTTACACCTAGAAAATTGCTAATTATTTAAAAAATCATCTATGAACAGTAAGTGATTATACATCTCATAAAAGAGTGTTTTATCCCAAATCATTTGGTATCATTTTAGGGTGGTATGTGTTCACGATTGGATGAACGGGAGGCATTGCTTGAGAGAGTGCATAAATCGATTTGCGCCAAAGTTGCTTGTGTGTTGTTTGAATAAGACAATTAGGATTTGGGTATTAATTCATTCTTTGCAGATCAAAATAACATCCCTAACAAAATTAGTCATGCCACACATATCAAATATCGAATATCGAATATCAATAAACATTCGTACGCGTGTGTGTGTGACTTTGCTTCTCCAAAAAGCATATGCAATGCATTTCATTTGATAAATTCAATTCATTCTCTCACTCCGCTAATCCCAAATGAATACATGCTGTAGGCATCACTTTGGCGCAAGTCGATTTTTGCACTCTCGCAAACAATGCCTCCTGTTCATCCAAGCGTGAACACATACCACACAAAAATTATACCAAATGATTTGGGATAAAACACTCTTTCATAAGTTGTATAAACATTTACTGTACATAGATGATGTTAAAATAATGAGCAATTTTCTAGGTGTAAACTTTTGTTTGACTCACACGGTAGTACGAAGGTAGAAGAATACAAGGTATTATAAATTTCTTAGTTTTAATCAGAATTAGCTCAAATTTTGCAAATCTGTTTCTCTCATTGCCCCTTTATAGGCATCAATGAAGCAGTCAAATATCCCATGGTAAATAGGCAGACTCGAGCTACAGCATAACAGGGCCTTGAGTTTCATAGAACTTGTTACTGATAACAAATTTCAATAACTGTTATAAGCTACTAAAATCATGGCATTTGATTGGATGAGAGCCAATTTGTCATAGAAATTTAGCATTTGTTATTGATAACAAGTTTTATTAAACAGGGCCCAGATACTGCATAAGTACATAGAGTACAGGGCCTTTTACACATGCAAGGTATTTTCTTCAATCACTCACCACGTCACATGTGATGGCAGTCATATTTGAGAATTCAGCCGAGTCTGTGTTTGCTAATGCGGGCGAGTAGGTCACACTATCACCATTAATGCTATTGTATCGGAAACTCCCTGCCAGTCTCGTAGAATCTGTGAATGAGGCACACAAAATACTCTTTCTTATACTGCCTTGATGGCTATAGAACCGATAAAGGATATTATATTCAAACAAGATCCAATATTAAGAGTACAGAGTCAAAAAGAATGTTTTCTCAAATCCTATATTCTTAATCTTGAAAAAGTAATTTTTCTTCCTTCTAAATATATTGCAGTCTTAAAAATTAAAGGAAATCCAAATAGAAAGTATAATATAGCAAGTGTGATTGACAATATAAAACCCTGCAAATCAATTTATCTATAAAGCATGCATAATTCTTTACACAATTTTGATATTGTGATTCTACATTATGTCAATTTCATTTAAATGCAATTCAATCATGAAAATAAAATGATGACACTTACACAAACAAGATTCCTTGTATCGTATAGAAGAATTGGTGCAGTAACACTCAAAGCCTGGGTCTAATTCAGTACAACCTTCATTTACTCCTGAACACGATGTTTCTAACATGCACTCTGAAGCATCTATAGAAAAAAAAATTGATACAAAAACTTTCATCGGTTGGGATAATCATGAAATGTAGTTTTTAAAGCTTCTACCAACCTTGAATTTTGTGGACAAGCTTTCGCTTCCTGTGGCTCGTGGCTCGTTGATGACACCTTTGTTATCATTGATTATGACCACATTGACTAATTCCTAATTACATCAATAGCATCGACCAACATAAACATTTCTCTGTTGAGGAAGAGGTTCAAAGGTCACTGAACTTCCTGGACACAAAGGTCTTTTTGAATGATGACCTTCAGTATCCATCACTGTGTACAGGAAACCAACCCACACCGATTCTTATTTGAACTTTGAATCGGATCACCCCCTCAGCACAAAGGTTGGAGTTGCTAGCTCATTGTATCTGAGAGCTCAAAGTGTACCTCAGACAATGATGCACTACAGAGTGAATTCCAACATATTGACAAGGCGCTTATGTGGATACCCGGCATGGATGGGACAAAGAGCAAAGGACAGAATAAGAACTAAGATCCCCCCTCCCCGAAGAAAAAGGAAGAAGTTAACAACAGAGTAGTTCTTCCTTTTATTAACACCCATATCCTCTCGCTTGAAACAAGCATTCCAAGACAAGGATATGAGTGTTGCCTTCAGAAGCCCCACACTAAGAAGTAGGTTGGTCCATATCAAAAAGACCGAATTCCAAGAGAGGAAAAGACAGGCATTGTGTACAAGATTACTTGCACAGATTGTAATAATTCTTATGTTGCGGAAACTGGCAGAACTCTTAATGAGCGATTAAAAGAACACAAAAAGAGCCCTCAGATTGAGCAACCCATCCGGCCTTAAAGCTTTAGCTGAACATGCCCTCAACACAGGACATAATATTGGATGGGATGATGCCCTCGTTATTAACTTTGAGAGCAACTCCTGTCAAGAAAGGTGAAAGAGTCAATATGGAAGAGGGTTAAGCCTACACTAAACAGGGACTCTTGATAGCGCTAAGAAAACGTGTGACTGATCACTTAGCTTGAGAAAGTCCACAGGAGTGGATGAAAGCTTGCCCACAAAATTCAAGGTTGCATGGTAGCGAAGCTTTGAAAACTACATTGTAATATAATAATTGTCATGAAAAACAAAACTAAAATGAAATGAGAATAACATTTTTGTTAGTAAAGAAATATTCCCCAATATTATATAATTAACCATCAAATTAGGAGTACTGTATTGTTAATTGTTCTGAATTGCAAATCCCACTAGAGAAAATCAAGAGTGTTAACAAACTTTCAGAACTTCATGGAAAGGTCCTAAACTACTACACAAAGGGTATAGATATATTTTGTCATGACTATATACTTACCAAAGTTCACGACCATCTTGTGTTAAATTCAAACTCAAGACAGAATGCACAATTTACGTGCAAGCTGCATTTCAGTATGGATCATTGCTGCAAGATTTTCATGATAACCATCTCAATGACTACTAAATCAGTCCCTTATAGGCTCAATACATTAACTAGCTGGTTCATTTACGTAATGGGAAGCTTGATCAAATGAGGCTCAGAAGAGTCATCTTACCATCAAAGAAGAGAGATAGAAGTTGGATGGTATTCCCGTTCTCATCAGTCCAAACTAAAGGAGTGCCAGAGAATCCGTTGCTCATGATATCGGAGGTAATTCTGGCTACGCCCTCTGTGTTCTCCCCATACACAGTGATAGCATACGACACGATCGTTTCGGACGATGAACCCGGAGCAAAGCCGGTGACCTCACAAGTGGACATGGGGTATGGCGTGCTGGCGATTACCCAACCATCAATCACATTTAGAAACTGAAAACAGAGAAGAGACAATAGAGAAAGAATGTTCAAAGATAGATTGTGGATAGTGAAAAAGATATCGCGTTGATGATGCACGTAGAAGTGAAATTGCAAAGAACTTTCATTTAAAACAATATCAGACAAGATTTACTTTACATCCACTAGCACTAATCATTACCGCATCACATCTTTATTTTTATATTACATTTCCATTCCACATCTACTTTTACCCTGAATTGCAAGGCAATACGGAAAACATGTAGCAAATGCTCATGATTGGGTTAATTTACAATGCGATTTTTCAAAAATATACAAGGCACTACACACACCAAATAACACCCCATCTTGTGCCAGATTTTGATTTTTTTTTTTCATTTTATTTTCTTATGCATTCATGTAAACATACAGTTTTTCTATAATAATAATAATATAAAGTACAATAAGTATTTTTCTGACAATGAATCATTCTGACAATGAATACATATATATAAATTGTTATTTAAAAAAAACGAAATGATAAACTGTCATAAATACTAAATTTCCTATAAAATTATTTGCGGAAGAAGGACTGTCATTGTAAGCAGATTGCTTGATAATACGACAGCCCCAGATGACACGCTGGCATGGCTCTCAAGGCTTTATTTGTCACAATAGCTGTGAAACATTATATGAAACAATACCCAACCTCAATCAAAACTCATACAATCAGGGAATTTCTTATCATCAAACTACCACCAAAAAAAAATTCCCTTCTTTCTATGGGCTGACAATTATGGATGACAAAAATATGGAATGAAATAAAAACTTGTTTTAAGTGAGGGAGTATCGGTGAATTAGGTAGTCTAATCAAAAGTCATTTTTATGTTAATTGATAATAGTGTAATTCTACTTGCAAAATCTCCTTACAGAAGTAATGTATATTTGAAGCTCACATTATGAATAAATTATTTACAACATAGCACTATACTAACATTTAAAAAGGATGATGTTTTGGTAACGGTACACTTTAATGTCTTGCCATAGGACATTTGTGATAATTTATTTAAGTTTAAACAACAAGAATCTTACCGCTCCACATACAAGGGCTTCCAAGTTCATGTATTCCTCCGACGTTGGATCTGATAGCGAGGCTGTGTACGGTACGATCCTGCCGTTTACCAGGTTGATGGTGATGGACCCAGTGATGGTGGCGCTAGCTAGTTCATACAAAGAATAAGGTGTTTACAGGTCATTGGTGGTATCATGAGAAGTACAAGAGCAAGTGAGAGAGATAGAGACAGAGAGAAAAGACATACATGAACAAGGAAAATAAGGGGAGGACAGTGAAATCAAAAAATTGAAAGGATGGGGAAGACAGGTAGAAAAGGAAGATTGAAATTGTGTCAGACTGGAATCATTTTAGAATGTAATGACTGCTATGAGAGACATACCGGTAATTGTTTTTATACGCTCAAGGGGAGGTTACATCGTGCTATCGCCCTGAGGCATGCCAAGGGGTGAGAGCACGATGTAACCTCCCCGAGAGCCTATTAAAACAACAATGCCTCTAATATTATTAATAATAATAATAATAAAAATAGGCATTTCTATAGCGCCGTCTATCTAGATAATTTTTATTTTGAGGCGCATTTATTATTTCCCCGGCTTTAGCCTAGCTGCCGTTTATACAGCGCTCCAGCATTTCAAGGAATTATTACCTGCCAGATACCCATTTACATCACCTGGGTTTAGTGTGGCAAATGTAGATCAATGTCTTGCCAAAAAACATTAGTGGCGCGGCGGGACTCGAACCGCGGAGCTTGTGATCGACATTCCGGCGACGTATCCACTCGACCACGACACTTCTACAAAGCAGTCACTATAACTTTTTTATACCAAAAAGGAGATTGCATGCATATGGTAGTCGCGTTCCACACAAACTAAGTTTAATAATTAACACGTAAACCAAAGGGGATCGCAGTTCTCATACCCGCCTACCAGTCAATAGTCTTTAGAAAAGTGCCCTAGGGCGAGTTTCAAAAGACTATTGACCGGTTTCGACATTTTACGTTTCTTTACGGGAATGGCTAAAATCACAACTCTAATTTCGACCAATCAGATGGCTGGATATCTAAAGTGAGGTATATAATGTATATTATTAACCGTATCAGACATCTGAGCAGGGCAATTTTTAAATGGTATTGCCCTCAAGGTTTTGATGGATAAGTCACCAAAATTACAATAAGTTAGTCCGCGCAGAAAAGTCAATGGGATTTTGTGTGTAATTTGGCGGGCAATATAGGTTATATAGAAAACCAATGCGCAAATATTTTACCCCGCTCAGAAGAGTCAATGGGATTTGTGTGTAATTTGGCGGGCAATATAGGTTATACAGTAAGTCAATGGACAAATATTTTAGCCCGCTCTGAAAAGTCAATGGCAAAATGCGTGTTAAACTAGTGCGCAATAATGTAGTGCCAGTTGTAATTTACATCGCGCATCAGCTATTGTAATTTACATCGCGCATCGTGTATTAGAAAATGCGCACTTTGCGCGAACTCCATTGTGACGTAACAATCACACCCTAGGCAAACTGTTTGCAGTGTATCGAAAATCTGTCAAACACTGGATGAACAGTGCTGGTTTGACAATGTTTTTGCAACTTCTAATGCTAGGAAACCCTGTGTAGCCTACATAATTTAAGAGTATAAGATAGTAAGAGTTTCTTGTTTGCTCTAGATGTCTGATGTGGTTAATAATAGTAATATTGACTGCCTAATTCAGGGCAATACGACTTGTCATATATCACCCTCACCTTCGGTTCGGGCGATATATGTCGTATTGCCCAGAAGGCAGTCAATATTACTTAAATATTCATCATCTGAACTGTGAAGAACAATTCTCACTTTTATTCCTATTGCCAATTCAAATTGATAAGAATTTTTGGCTTCTAGAATGAGTGAAAAATGTGCAGCTCACAGGATGAAATAGAGACATTTTCAGATAACCATATATTGAACAGAAGAGACAACAGATAGAAGGACAGATAAAAGAGACATCAACAGAAAAGAATTTGCCATTATTATAAACTTACTCAGGCAAAAGCCTCTTGTCCTCACAAAGTCTGCAGCACACACACATTGGTAACTTCCAACTGTGTTCTCACACTCCTCATTAGCCAAAGTGCATGGGTTACTGCCACTGGCACACTCATCAATGTCTATATAAGAGAGTGTATTAAAGTCATGAGAAATAATGGAAGAACATAAGATATGTATCCTAAGATGACTATATAGATATATAAAAACACCCAAATCAAGTATTAGGGACTCTTTAAAAAAAGTGTGAGAGCAAACAAAGAATGCATCAAGTAAAACAAAGTAAATCACATATTACAAGCAGATTTCAAGGGGTTTATTTTGAAGGTGGCAATTTAGACAAATTAATCTCTGATGCAAAGTGACACGTTGTTTCATGTTTTGGATGCAGCCACTACACAACATTTTTCAGGTGATAGGACTCAGAATTTGGAAATAAGTTCAGTTCCGTCGGTAATTAGATTACAAGCTGGTGTATATGAAGAAAAAAAAAGAAACTAGATGAAACTTTGACTGCACGCAGTCGAAAATGATGCCTCTGCCATATAGCGATTTTTCAAACCAAAACAGCACTAATTTAAAAAAAAATCAAGTTTGATTGTAATCCATTAACAGGTTCTCAGAATATCGTGATTACAAGCTTTTTTTCATTAACATGATCTTTGACCTCATGACCCTAAAATCTAATCAGTTAATAGGCTCTGCAATGTACATACATGTCCTGGCTTTGATAGTAATCCATCCGTCAGTTCTAATGAGAATGCATTCTCAAGATATTTTTGTATACATAACGAGCCCTTGACCTTGGACCTCGTGACCCCAAAATCCCATCAGTTCATCGGCTCTGCAAGATACATACATGACCCAAGTTTGGCAGGACTCCATCAATGGTTTCTTGAGAAAACGTAATCACAAGCTATTTTTAATACAAAATGGGCCTGTGACCTTTGACCCTGTATTACAAGAGCTCGCACGCACGGAAATTTATGTTAAACGGTCGATCATTCCGTTATTAATAGTCATAAAGAGACAAACATGGTATCAATTTGTTTGTAAAAATATCTGAAATATCATGAAAGAAAAAAAAAAATGGCGATTCTATGTTGTGTAATAGTTTGACGCGCGAGAACGCACACACATACCGCATTTATTTAGTAGTGTGCATTGAATTTATGAGCATTGTTTCACGAAGAAAACCGTCTTAAGTGCAAGTTCGCCAACATCTCATTGAAACTTGTGTCAATTTTCATACACATGTTGTCTGTGAAGTTGTACTTATGAAGGTTCCCGTAAAACGATGCACAGGGGAGAAATATGCTAGTTAACACCGATAGATCCCAATCTATTTCTCAAACTATCTTTCGTGCCAAAACGGTAACAAATAAGGCAAAGGTAATATATAAGGCAAAGTTAAGGTTTGCCGTGGCGACAGCCCAGAAAAGCGGCAATGTTTCTTTTGTCTTTGTTTTGGAAAAGAACACTTCAAATACTTGCTTTTTAATATGCAAGGATTACATGTTATAACATTAGTATGAGAATGTGATCCTTGAAAAAAGGAAACGGATAGGAAAAAAGTGATTGGAAATACTTAAAGGGATCGTTTAACAATGTTAAATCTGAGATACACGGCCCTACGTGTTATCAGTGTCTGTGATATGGTGTAATATTGAAGCCCTAAAAAAATTGCGCTTCAAAATGATCAAGAAGTGCCTCAAAAAAGTAAAAATCTTTGAGTGACCGGTTTTACCATACTCGTTTTCCCCAATAGACTGTAGTGTTATGAAAACCGTCAGGCGAACGGTTTTCAAAATTTGTAATTCCAATCATAAATATCTTGATAATCAGACAGGCGATCGGCTTGTAAAAGTCATGGGGCTCCTGACTGACCTTAAGGTTTATAATTATCATTGCATCATGAGCTAAATCCAGAATTTTATTTCAGAATCTGAGACAAAGTTACCGGATCCCTTTAAATGCCTATGATTACCGGTTGTTGGTGGATGGGATGTGGTTGGCTCTTGAATAGTTGTTATTTCAAGAGGTTGAGTAGTTGTTCCTGGTGGGGCAGTTGTCGTTTCAGGAGGTTGAGTAGTTGATCCTGGTGGGGCAGTGGTTGTTTCAGGAGGTTGAGTAGTTGATCCCGGTGGAGCAGTTGTTGTTTCAGGAGGTTGAGTAGTTGATCCTGGTGGGGCAGTTGTTGTTTCAGGAGGTTGAGTTGTGGATCCTGGTGGGGCAGTTGTTGTTTCAGGAGGTTGAGTAGTTGATCCCGGCGGAGAAGTTGTTGTTTCAGGAGGTTGAGTAGTTGATCCTGGTGGGGCAGTTGTTGTCTCAGGAGGTTGAGTGGTTGATCCTGGTGGGGCAGTTGTTGTCTCAGGAGGTTGAGTGGTTGATCCCGGTGGGGCAGTTGTTGTTTCAGGAGGTTGAGTAGTTGATCCTGGTGGAGCAGTTGTTGTTTCAGGAGGTTGAGTAGTTGATCCCGGTGGAGCAGTTGTTGTTTCAGGAGGTTGAGTAGTTGACTCATAATCTATCCAAATATGAAGAAAAAAATGGGGGGTATCCATCCATTCTGAAGAGTTACAATGAATTTTGTATAGGCATGTTTTTGCACATGTATGTTATGTATTACAAGAGCTCGCACGCACGGATGCGTATCTTAACGGACGCTCATTCCGTTATTAATGGTCAGAAAAAGGTGAACATGGTATCAAAATGCTTAAAAAAATGTGCAAAATATGACAGAAAAAATTTGGCGATTCTACTTTGCAAAATGCAAGTACGCGCGAAAAAGCGCACACATGCACGTGTGCGCGTTTTTTGGGCAAAATGCTTAAGTCATATCCTGCCATGAGGCTGCTAGCGCGCTATTGTTATAGTGCTCTGTGCAAGCGAGCGCGCTACCGTGTGACTGCTTCGTGAACGCTAGCAAGCATATGTAATAACAGTCAATGTTCATGCCCATTGCACCGTGCTGAGTGCTTTTACAGCGCTATTGAAAGTACCACCGTGTGCATCAGATTATCGGCTTTGGATTACGCGTCTTTGTATACAACAGTCAGATTGGATTTTCTCGAGTAATTTAGTGATTTGTTTTTTGTAAAGATTTAAATAACACGCACTTGAACCAACTTTAAAATTAACTTGGCACACAGGAGATTAGCACTGTGGCACTGGGTGCATTGTATGGGTGGCAGCTTAAGAGTTAAAATGGCCTGAAACGTATGTAAAATTAATTTGAAACGAATTTGAGCATTTTAAAATTTTAATGCACGCGTACTTGCGCGTCGAGGTGCGCGTGCAAAAATTGTTGACATTTTTAGTTGACCTTTGACCTGAAGTTGATGTATACCAAATATGGTTTATTTTTTATGACTCGTTATTGAGATATGATAATGACCTGATTTTTACAAAATGGCGCCTGGATGACGTCACGATGACCCCATGAACTTGAAAAAGGTTTCGGGAACTTGATATTATAGGGCCTAATGACTAACAGAAATTTGAAGGAAATTGACCAAGTCGATTTCGAGTAAACGTATACACAAAAAAAGTGTACGGAAGAAATAAAAATAAACTAGATTTGTAATACTTGTTTGGAACAAGTATAGGTGGGCTGATCCAACTAAAATTTGAGACAAAATCAAGGGCACATTTGAGACAGCTTTTTGTCTCAGCTACAACATACTCAAAGTGCAGCGTAAACGAAGCTAAAACAACGTAGATATTGCTCGCGAAAGACGGGAATGTAGAATCGAGTTTTGAGAAAAAGTCACGTCCCATAGAGAATACACGCAAAATGTGAAAAATTGACATGCCTCCTTTAATCGCAAAAATACGCCATGATCAGGGCTCAAATTAATTTTTTGTCCACGGGGGCTCTTCCAAAATAAAAAGCGCCCCCGTGAGCCTTCTCACGGGGGCCTTTTTAGTACAGACGGGGGCTCTTTTTCCATTGAATTGGTGGTACCCATGAAACTCCTAAATTATTTGCTATTTCATCATTATCATTAATAGTCTTTTAATAGTTTTTTGTCGCGCCCATATCGCCTTTGTAGTTGATTAAAAGCTGAAATAAGGAAGTACTTGAGCTCGAAAATATATATCTTCACTGTTCTCACGCGGGGGTGATGTCGAAATAGAAACTTGGCCACAAAACACAACCACACTATTCAGAATAAATAGCAGAAAGGACAAAAGACATGAAGACCTTGTCAATCTTATTACACAACGTCGCTGTTTTCACGAAGTGACGGTAGTGAAAAAAAAATGCATTCACTTTGCGTTACGATTTTCCTCACTACCGTCACTTCGTGAAAACAAGGACGACAAGTGTAATTAACACTCCTCTTCAGAAAAGTAGAGACCTAGACCAGACCCCCCCCCCCCCCGATTTCGCGGAAGAAGAAAAAAATGGTTTTAATGGTAATGGTCGACATAAAAACTCTGAGCTCATCCTGTTTTCTATTTAATTATAAATCGAAAGAGAAAATAAGCGCCACCCTCGAAGTTAGTTTCGAAAGATGGATGATGTATATACTGGGCTGTTATCTTATTGTTACGGCCCTCCATCCTAGAACGGGTCCTGGATGCTGGAGGGCTGGCCTGTCCCTTGCCTCTATCTTCGTCATCTGACGAAGAATTTGCCATCCTGAATAATGCGAGCGGTTTCTATTTGGCTTGTAGTTTAGAGACCCTGACGTGGCTCCGTTTTCCCAAAGTATATGAGTGTGGAGATGAAAGGTGTTTTGGATAGCTGGACGTGTATTCTCTATGAAATTACATCAGTCTATGGAGACTCAACTAATTACACGTTATGAAACGATGGATTGTTTAACTGTATACTTTATTAATACAAACATAAGTCAACTTCTCCAACACGTTATCATAGTTAACACCGACACCAATTACCTATATTAATCTCAACAAGTAGTAAAGGCAGGGATTGCCTTTTGTAGGAACTCTATTTCTCGCTTCCAGTCCTTTTCCTTACTTTAGCTCAGCTGGAGGAAAGCGGAGAGTTCGCTATCTGACCAAGACGAGAGCCAGCGTCGAAGTGACGATATCTCAGCTCAATACCGCTATTTATAGGATCTGAGACGCTCTGAGAGCTGCTTTACGCATGGTGCGTCCGTAATCGCGCTCTGAGCCCTTACGCCCCAAAAGCTTACTGCCCTCTACGTTTTCTGCAAGATAACTACCTGTAACGGGCTGGTCCGTTACATTATTCTTATTTTGTCCTCGTTGCACGTGCGTGCTTTTCTATTATTTTTTCAAGTCATGTCGTTTAGTGGAAGCACCCGTAGACATGTCGATTGTACCTTACTATATTTAATTTTGACTACATATTATTTATTGGGATTTAAATATGAATCTGAAAGTTTATTCCTCGAATAACCTTATCTGGATTAACATGACTTTGACATAATATAGTTGTCCTCGCGGTGCACTAAAAGTATTGCACGTAAACAGATTTCGACCTTCCCCTCTTTCCATATTTTTTTTCTCGCTTCCGGAAACGCATTTGTTTTGCTTGATCCAAACACAGAGATGTATTAATTTATGGAACTTTTTTTATAGACTGTAAGTGCTTAACATAGTTATTTACAGATGATTCTGCAAACTGTATTTAATAACATAATATTAATGAACAATCTCAGATTTACATGTGTGTGCACTGCAAATTCGTTGTGTAACGACTTTACACAACATTGAATTGTTCACTACTTAAACACGGGTTGTGTTAAGTCGTGTAATAAAACATTACACAACTTTGCACCCTGCAACATCTTTGGTGATCTCCTTCTCAATATTGATTTACTGGTCGAGTTACATTATTTGCTGGCCTTTTAGAATAGTCAGATTTCAGAGGATTCACACTTTTCACAACGAAAAACTTCTCCATGTTTCAGTCTTTGCGCGATCGTCTCCAGCTCCAGCAGATATTGGGCGTCAGCGTGCACACCGGTACTACCGGCGCAGTATAGCCACTGCTGAGGGCCGCACTAGCTACACTGCGAGCTTCCGTTGTTTTTATCGGTAATACTCATAGAGATGGGAGAGAAAGCGCCATCTAAGTTCCATTTCATTGGTTTAAGGTTTGAAAATTGATACTCAATATTGTGTTAAAGTTATATCAGAAAAGATAATCTTTAATTTATAATTCCACGGGGGGGGGGGGGGGGGGGGGGGGGGGGGGGCGATTTTTAATTTTTCAATCGCCCCCGTGAGCAACCTGACGGGGGCGATTATGGAGCTCACGGGGGCGAATCGCCCATCGCCCCCGTGTATTTTGAGCGCTGGCCATGATGCCTTTGTCAAATGAAGAAAAAAGTTACTGCATTTGTAGAAAATTGTCTCAGCTAGAATAAATTACAATTTGGAAGAAAATCGATCAATATTTACAGAAATACAATCAATTTTCCATAAATATGCTGACGTCATAATATGCAAATTGGAATTTTGAGTTCGGAGGCCACTATGATGACGTCATGAGTTAATCGAGGGTCAAATGAGACATGAAACAATATCTCCGAATCATACTCTATTAAAATATGAAAAAAAATTGAGGTTTTCTTACATCCTAAAGAGCTACAATTAATTTTCTATAGGCATGTTTTTGCCCATATATGCTATGTTTTACAAGAGCTCGCGCGCACGGAAATTTATGTTAAACGGTCGATCATTCCATTATTAATAGTCATAAAGAGACAAACATGGTATCAATTTGTTTGTAAAAATATGTGGAATATTATGAAAGAAAAAAAAATTGCGATTCTATGTTGTGTAATAGTTTGACGCGCGAAAACGCGCGCGCATGCGCGTGTGCGCAATTTTTTATAAAATGCTTAGAATGGCCTAAAACATATGCAAAATGATTTTTAGACGATTTTGAGCATTTTAAAATTTTGCGCGCGCATTGACGCGCGGACGTACGCGCACATGCGCATTCTTTGACCTGAAATTGACCGGACGGATATTGAGCTTGATCATGATAAATATGAATGAGAAATGGCTTTTGGTTATGAAGATATGATCAAGAGTTGATTTTCGTAAAGTTTTACAAAATGGCGCCTAGATGACGTCATCAGTAAAGGTCAATGTTGAAAACGTTATTGTGCTTTGTACATATGCCTTTACATATGTGTGCCAAATTTCAAGGATTTTGATCGAGCCATTTTCGTGTTATCTTGTTCACAAAAAAGTGGTTAGAAATAAGAAAAATATTTAATAATAAATAAAGGCAATTCTAACGAAATTATAAGGTGGTCTGTACGATATACAGCCCACCTGATAATTCAAACAATGGACACCATATCAATTAATTCATACCTATCCTGTCTTGCTTTTTACATGTTATTACTGAATCAATTTGGTTAGTTACTGTTAATGTATGTTCACATTTACGAAGATGTTATTTTCACTGAATGCATAATAATCTCAATAAATTTTGTATAGGTTCAAGTTCAAGTTCAAGTTTTATTTCAATTCAAGTCCATAAAAAACATATAAGATACAGATTATATACAA